TATGATTACATAACAAAATTATGCAGGCAACAAGCAGAAGTCATACAAAATCATGATAATGAGAATGTTCGCAACATCGGACAAGGCGAAGCCCGACACAGAAAGTATAAGAGGCTTAAACTTGGCGGCGGTCAGGCATACGACCGTTCAAGTGACTAGACTGCCGTGGTAGCAAATACTACTAGGATATATATGTATATATATGAAAGGGCATAATCCGCTGTACCTAGCCTGGACTGACAGAGGCTGTGTATATATTGTACATAGAAGTAAGGATTAAGTGTGTATTTGTAAATGGATGTAAATACAGACAATAGACTTAATACAGACTGACTGACAGATGACAGACCCGACCTCTCGTCAGAGAGGGCGCTACACATAGACAGGACAGTAACTTTCATTGAAAAGAAATATCTGGTCATGAGCCCCAGCTGGGGCTCGACACCAAGACCGACAGACTGACTGACCGTCAGTTGTAACATGACCTGACCTGACCTGACCTGGCGTGATAATGTGGGATGTTCCCACAAGTTAAAATACAATATCATTAATAAGTTTTGTATAACATACATTAATAGTATAATAAATTGAAATAAAGACTAGTATACAGTGATATAAAGATTGTGTATATCTAAAATAGGTAATGAAAAAGTAGAAAACAGACTGACAATCTTGTCTTCTTTTAATTGTAAAGCAAGACAGCTACTTGCATCTTAAAAAGAGTGTAATGAATAAAAAGAATGTAAATGTAAAAGGAATATGTTATATGGGACCATTTGCCATCTGACATTAAGTCTATGTTTAATGACATGAGTTTTAAATTTAAGTTGACAACATTCTTATTACAGAATTCCTTTTATACCATTGAGGAATTTTTTGAATTTACATAGCCATATACCTATGAATTTTTTTCTTAGAGTAAGAACACATTGTAACCTTGAAATCCTTACCTGGAGGAAAATATCAAAGTAAAAAATTTCTAAGCCTTATAATAATAGGTTTACAATACAGTCACAACTTACTTAAAATTATTAAGGGGAAGCCAGGTGGGACTGAAACTAAACAGGACACATCAGCTGTTGGTCTACGCCGATGATGTGAATCTACTGGGTGATAATGTAGATACCATAAAGAAAAACACACAAATGATATGAAGGTAGGAAACAGATGTCTTGAAAATGTGGCACAGTTCAGATATTTGGGAACAACGATAACAGATCGAAACCTGATTCAGGAGGAAATTAAGAGGCGATTGAACTGGGGTAATGCTTGCTACCATTCAGTCCAGAAACTTTTATCTTCTCGTCTGTTGTCCAAAAACATAAAAATTAGAATATACAAAACTATAATTTTGCCCGTGGTTCTGTATGGGTGTGAAACTTGGTCTCTGACATTAAGGGAGGAACATAGACTGAGGGTGTTTGAGAACAGGGTGTTGAGGAGAATATTTGGACCAGAGAGAGATGAAGTCACAGGAGGTGGGAGAAAACTACATAATGAGGAGCTTCATAACTTGTACTCCTCTCCAAGTATAATTAGAATGATCAAGTCAAGGAGGATGAGGTGAGTAGGTCATGTAGCACGAATGGGGGGGACGAGGAATGCGTATAGGATATTGGTGGGAAAGCCAGAAGGAAGGAGACCACAAGGAAGACCAAGGCGTAGGTGGGTGGACAATATTAAAATTGATCTTAGAGAGATAGGATGGAATGGTAAGGATTGGATAGATCTGGCTCAGGATAGTGACCAGTGGAGGGCTTTTGTGAACACAGTGATGAACCTTCGGGTTCCATAAAATGCTGTGAAATACTTGAGTAGCTGCAGAATTGGGGCTCCTCAAGAAGGGCTCAGCTCCATGAGTAAGTTCATTGTGTTATAGTATGGCTGCATAAAGATTGTGAATGTATAAAATATGTTCACCAATTCAGTGTCAATTGCATCTTTTCAAACTGTAATTATCGACCATGCTTAGTTCCTATAAAGACAGCCCACTATTTTCTGAAGTGTCAGTGGTTGCTAGTGGTTGCTAGGCAACCCAAGACTATTTATTCTGCCTCTGCCCAAACAAGTACTGAGATTCCTTTCTGGAATTTTACTTTATTGATTTGTAGTCTCATTCCAGCATTCTTCCCCATTAATTTATGTGATACAGTTTAAAATGTGTAGCAAGCAGTTATAATATGAAGTTCTCACTGACTGTAGTATTTAATACTGTTTATTCTTGCTTTTCTAAAATTGTTTTAAAATTGGCTAGATCAGTAACGCAGCTGATTACAACCTGGACAGTATTTCATTGTGAACTTTTCAAAAAATGTGTTTGCTGACAAAAGGGCAACATTTCTAAAAACAGAGTAAGAACCGCTGCAGTGCAAGAGATCAGATTGGCAAAATTAGCCATTGTTTTGAGAGATCTGGTTTCTGGAGGCCTGGCAGGCATAGTCTAGTATAGCGGGAAGTAGCTAACCTTTTTATTGACTGAGCTCTTGGCAGTTGCTGCGGCCATTTTGCAGAGTTAGTCTGAAGGCTGCAAATAGATGGCAGGATTATACATTTGTGATGTCACGGCAGCAACATTGGGAGTCAATAACATTGGGTTACGGAGGGCTAGTATTTAATATCGTGAGATCGTGACGATCGTGAGAACCGTGAGAAGTTGGTTGATGCTGGAGGTGAATAGTTGGAGACTAGTTGTGCCGGTTGGTTGTCGTGAATATTGAATAAAACTAGTCGTAATACAGAATTGTCCCCTCCGATTTGTGCAGTCTTAAATTCCATTTAATTGATATATTTGCTTGCTATTCATTAAGATGGCGAGTGTATCGTATCAAATAGCAAATTTACTAGAGAAGGTAAGTTAGTACATTCCCAAGACATCTTAAAACTGCATGAAAGTAACGACAAAAGCATTGCACCGAATTTGATTTGACGTAAATAATGACTTCTTGTGTCATTAAGTGCATGCAGTATAACGTTAAGCGAAACTGTCGAGGATCTATTGAAATGATTAATGTGTGACTATTGTATCCATAAATTTTGAAAAGTGAACATCCCAGCCTTTCGAGGTTTCTTGTTCTGTCTTCTAAAATTTAATATATATATGTTTCTTGCATGTATTTGATTATAGATGACCTCAAGTGATAAGGATTTTAGATTTATGGCCACCAATGATTTGATGACAGAACTTCAGAAGGACAGCATTAAATTGGATGATGATTCCGAACGTAAAGTTGTGAAGATGTTATTGCGTTTATTGGAAGACAAAAATGGAGAAGTTCAAAATTTGGCCGTGAAATGGTAAGTTTTTCATGCCACTGTAAAGCATTTTCACTTGATATGCAAAATAATTATGAACTCAACAGATTTACATGCTCAAATTCATTGTTTTTTAAGGAAGAAATGTGAAACATGTACTAAATGACAGAGTACAAGTGTAAGTTTTTTGTTCATACAAATGTGCCTGTTCTGTAACATGGGAAATCTCCAAATGATGGTCATTTTGATTTCAAAGTATGCTAAGCGTGCATATGTCCACTGGCTGTAAGACTTGTTCAACCCAGATCATGAGATCTTTCATGCTCTGTGGCACAGGAGTCAGAAGAAGGCATCCTACATGAAGATGTATAACTGAAAGACCCATTAAGTGTGTCTGTCTAGCAGTAACAGCCTAGACTCATATTTGGGGAATGCTTGGTTTGGATTGCAACCAGGCCATCAGCTATCTTAACCAAGGTTTTTCATGGTTTCCTTTAGTGCCTGTAAGCAAATTCCAGAGTTCTTTGATGAAACCATGACTGCTTCTTTCCAGATCATTTCCAGTTCATCATTCACCCATTACCTCACCAGCTGACATTGTGTATGCTAGCTACTGACACTGTATTTAAAGAAGCCACACAAGGAGTCCATCAGACTTGATGACAGTGGCCATGGAATTTTGCCATCCATATTCCAATGTAATCTTTATCAGGAATTCTGTTACTTGACCAATGTGTTACTTTCAACTTTCAACTTTATTTTCATCCATAACTGAAGTGAATACAATTGGACATGTAAAATAACGAATATATCACATGTCAAAGTCGCATAAAATTTACACAGTGATTTATCACTATAATATAGCAACCATTATAAGGAACATAACAATAAAAAATACAGAAGATCAAAAGAAAAATGTCAGTAATATAAAACATGTAAACACAATATTAAAAATTGCAAGCCAAAAGACAATCAGCAAGCTAGTCATCAATCCAACATTAGTTGAAAAATTCTTGAAGAGAATAGAAAGCGCTGCACAACAAATAGTTTTTTAGTTTCCTCTTAAAACATTAAAATTTTTAACGATTTTCAATTCAAGGGAAGGCAGGCAATTAAATATTTTAGTTCCCATATTAATTACACCTTTTTTACAAAGATTGGTATTACAAGTAAAAAACATGGAAACGCCTAGTAATGGGTGGGGAGGGGCTGGGTCTCAGTGTGTGTTTCACATTCTAGAGAAGTTTAACATTCATAGTTGTAGTTTTAATAAGAATGTGCAAGAAACCTTCGAAGGATGGCAGGTTTTTTAATTACTCTTAGTTATTAGGTACACATTTCTCTTCTTTCACATGCCTTACTTTTAATACTAGACTGAAGGATGTGAAACATCCAGTATGACCTATTAGCCAAGTTTTAAAAGTAAGATGCGTCCCTGTAGATTAATGCCCAGTTACTTAATTCGTTTGGAATTTGTCAGTACATTTCTGCTGCTTTTGTGCAGGAGTCAAGCTTTGAAGTGAAGTGTGAATTTTAAGTTTGTTAAAGAAGCTCGGATTCAATGTCCAGATTACCTGATTTAAGATGCCTTTGCAAAATATGGTGTACATTTTTCTTTGGAAGAGTGTGGGATGTTCTTCCAACAAAACAACAGTGTTAATTTGTAGAGAATTAAAGTGAGCCTTCTCAAGAAATGAAATTCATGTAATGAATTTTTATGGCAAATTGCTTGGAACAGTAAGATTCAAGGTCAGGAGAATAAATTTTATTTTCTTTGTTCTAACTAAAAATATAAGTGAAAAATTAAATTAAAAATTGTGTTTGAATAGTGGTTGATTTGATGGTTTTTTATTGTTGATCCCTGTCTTAGTTTTCCTTTGTCCAGATGTCTTTAAAGGGGGTACTGACCTCAAAGACTCTTACAATTTCCCAGTTTTTCTTTTTATTTGAAAAAGAAATCTTGTATGGTCTAGGCAATGCACATCCGGCCCTTTGTAGCACATTCTTATAAACATCTTATTCTGTCATAGCAGTGACCCTGTGACTTTTGGACATCTCTCTTAAATTAACTCTATTAATATTACTATTACTGTTACTGAGAATATACTGTTAATATTTTATTCCTATACTTCTTTTCCTTCTTTTATTAATTTTAGGAATTTTGTTTATAAAGTAACAGATGCCCTGCACAAATATTTTTTCCTCAAGCCTTAAGAGCTCTGTAACTGATTTTGGGTATTCATTTTTCCTGTTCTCAGACAAAATGTCCATCATTGTTTCAGAGGTACATTGTGCTTCCACTTTCAGGTAAAAATTGGTGACTACCTACATGACAGTATAATGTCGGAACCTAAATGGTTATAATCAAAGCATCCACCACTGTGAAAACCTTAGATGTTATTTTTAGTTTGTTGTTACTAATGTGACCCACAAAGTAGCGTTATGTGTTCAAAACATTCAGGATGCAATGACTAGCATCCACCATGCCCTGCCTGAGATATTCAAAATCATTAAAACAGGTTATTGCTGCTTTCTCCTCTATACTTGCTAATCATTTGCCACCATGTCTGTAAACCTTGCATAAAAACGGCTTACTTACAGGTGACAGTGTGCAAACAAGACAACAGTACTGTTACCATGTAACGCAAATCATGCATATTTTCTGTAATTGTGTTTGACAGAATCAAGCAAGTTTCTTTGTTGAATGTTTTTTCAGGCATCTCATTGTGTAAAAAGTATATAATAGAATATATTTAGCTTGTTGAGTTTAAGTACATTGCAGACTACAAATTAGAACACAGCCATTATATAAGCATGTTTAAAACATGCTTCTCTAAGCATATCAACCCGTCGTACTTTAGTTATATGTAGCCTGCACAATTTTTGTGGACATATTCTCTCTTTAATGCAAAAATAAATCTCCCTAATTCTAGCCATTTCACCCATGCACCAGCTTCTATTTATCTTGGGATTTTTACTTCTGATAACATATTCCAAATAATTTGTCATTATTTGATTTTAAACACTTGTGCATGGTGTACACTTTACAAAAGCAGTGTTAACAGATTATAGCAATAAACACTTTGCATTATCACGATAAAACTAAACAATCAAACTCCGTGGCTGTAGCCCACAAGTGAATTATACCAACCGAGCGACTGCTGCTTGTCGGTGAAGTTAGTGCCAACCTTAGAGGACAGAGGGTGTCACGTGGTCAATGCAACAGATTCCCACGGCCATTAATCTCGGTTTTCTAGACCTGAGCCGCTATTTCCTTGAAATAGCTGCTCAGTTATCCTCATGAGGCTGAGCGGACCCCTTTCCAGACCCACTACTTCTCAGAAAATCTGCCAGGAATCAAACCCAAATCTCTGGATCTGTATCCAGGAACTCTTGCCACTAGACCACAGAGTCTCGTGATAAAACAGGAAAGCTAAAATTATTAAGTCTTTTAAGGCGAATTAGAATGACATGAGGTTGCTGAGACATTACGTTTGGCCGGGAGATAGTGATAACCTAAAATCTGAAATGTCATTACAGCATAGTGTGAGAAAACAGAAATACACATTTTACATTATAACAGTGTTGGTGTTAAAAGTAAAAAGCTCATGTAACTAGATAGTTTTTGAGAAATATTAGATAGACCATGGCTGCATCATTTGTAAATTAAAAAATTGTAAACCAGTTTTGCATATACTGATGCTCCAATGACATTTTCTGTTTGAATCAGACATCACTTAAAAGTTGTACATTTTTCAAAACTGTATTATATTTCAGGATACAATATTGAATGGAACTATTGTTACTGCCACATGAAAAAATTTATTTCAATGTCGATGTCACTGAAGGCAGAGACGTAATGTTCTGCTATGGTCATTATGCCAAGAGTTATAAAAAAATCTTCCTCATTAGTTCTTGATGCAGATTAGGCTTCCCTTTTTAAGCGAAACAGAACTTGGATCTTAAGGTGTTGTGAGATTATTTAATTTACACTGGCAAGAAATTGAACCTCCTGAAATAAGGAAGAATGGTCTTCCAGAATTACAGGGTTTTTGGACTTTTCCCATCATCCGGAATTCTGGGTCCTCCATTACCTAGAATTCTGGACGATGGAAAAAGTCCCAAAACCCAGTAATTCTGTGTGTCATCCACCATCGTCAGAACCCTTTAGAATCTAATGGTCTTCCATTCTACTTTAAGCATATATGATAAATTAAAGAATGTTTGCTTTTTGTTTTCTTTAATCAGCATTTCCCATAACTTTTACACAGATGAGGTTATGAGATGTGTATTATTTATTTGTATTTTTTATAGCCTTGGTCCATTGGTCAACAAAGTAAAGGAATTCCAGGTAGAAACAATTGTGGATGCATTATGTGGCAACATGGTATCTGATAAAGAGCAGTTACGTGACATTTCAAGTATTGGCCTGAAGACAGTGATCAGTGAACTTCCACTGGCTTCCAGTGGCCTTGCTTCCAACGTGTGTAAACGCATCACTGGACGACTTAGTAATGCAATTGAGAAGGTAAGTGGAGATAGGCATCTTTTCATTTTAGTGATCATGACTGAGTTGTGAGAGTGTAACCGTGGGTTCATTTCTCTAAAGTTGCTTTTATATTGGTTCAGAGAATGTTGGCAATTGCAAATAATCAAATCAGGGGTGTTGAATCCACTTTGTTACATGTAATTCCAGTAATGTCACTAAGTTTTAGTGACAACAGAATTTATTCAGAGTCTGAATCTTGAAGAGGCAAGAGATGAATAGGTGAACTGTCACAGCTAAATACACTGTTTAAACCACATTTAGTAAAGGTTGCTATAAATTGAATATTCTATAAACATGGTTGATGGAGGATAGTAAGTGACCATGACCATGACTCAAACCAGGCAACTCCCAAATAAAAGTTGGTATTAGGACTCCTTGAGCCAACTTGTTTGATTTTCTCTCATCATGAAGAAACTATGAGGACACACTAACCTCCACAACACCAACACCACCAAAAATCAGAACTTCTACACACACACATGTTCAGCTATGTTTGTTATATAGTACCAGAGATCAGAAGAGGTATTTTAAGTCCCAGAGTCCTCAGTTAGGATAGTTGGTGTTGCAGCAAAGGTTCTAACTGATCACCTCCTGAATTAAACTTGTAGAATATAGTCTATGATTGAATGATCTGTAAGTCACCCAGTCATTGGAGTACACATACAGATGTGCCGTTTGTGATTTTGTATATTACATATTGTGGATACCACATCTTCATAACTTGTACTCTTCTCCAAGTATAATTAGAGTGATCAAGTCGAGGAGGATGAGGTGGGCAGGTCATGTAGCATGAATGGGGGAGACGAGGAATGCGTATGGGATATTGGTGGGAAAGCCAGAAGGAAGGAGACCACAAGGAAGACCAAGGCGTAGGTGGGTGGACAATATTAGAATGGATCTTAGAGAGATAGGATGGGATTGTATGGATTGGATAGATCTGGCTCAGGATAGGGACCAGTGGAGGGCTCTTGTGAACACGGTGATGAACCTTCGGGTTCCATAAAATGCTGGGAAATTCTAGAGTAGCTGCAGAATTGGTGGCTCCTCAAGAAGGGCTCAGCTCCATGAGTAAGTAAGTAAGATACCACATCTGTTTTTGTTAGTATAACTGTGATGTTGAAAGCTAATCACACTTGGGGTATCACATCATGTAAATTTATAAGTTATTCAATTCAATTTTAATTTATTCTATTGATCCATACTGGTACAACCATTGGATATAGAGAAGTCAAAAATACAGGAGTACAATATGACTAAATAATGATAAATAAATAAATAAGACATGCAATCATTAAAAGATTTTGTCAAAAAAAAAAAATAAAAATAATAGAACACTGTAGATACTGATACTATTATGTTACTATTACCATCAGAAATACTTATATAGTTTTATGCATACAAAATTTATCCACAGTATAAAAAGAATGCTCATGCAGATACTTTCTAATGGTATTTTAAAGCTTTTAATATCACACGCCAAGTCCTTAATGTCAGCTGGAATATGGTTATATATCTTAACGCCTGCGTAGGCGGGACTTTTATGAAACATTGTCAAGTGAGTCGTTACTTGAAAAAAATTAGAATTATTCCTGATATTAAAATTATGAATTTCATAATTTTGTCTAGACAGTGATTTATTGGTAACAATAAACAGAGCCAAGGAGTGTATGTAGTGAGATGCTAGAGGTAGTATATTTAAAATTTTAAAAAAATTTCTGCAAGAATCCCTGGGTCTTGCTTCCATTAGTATTCTAACCATTCGCTTTTGGAGTTTGAAAATATTTGTACAGTGGGAAGAAGTTCCCCAGAAAATTAATCCATATGTTATATAACTGTTGTTATATTTAATTTGTATTACGGAATTAATAATATCTTTAAAGTGGAATCCCATACAATAGGTTTTGTCTAGATTTAATGAGAGTAAATTTGCCTTAAACCATTTCATCACACTAGTGAAGACTGACTTCATGTTATTTCCTAGTACAGTATTGTTTTGATTACTGACGATTACGCTAGTATCATCCACAAATAAAATTGTTTGGGGCTTTACATTGACATTCAGATATTTTATAGATATAGGTAAGTCATTGATATATAGTAGGAAAAGTAATGGTCCCAGGATAGATCCCTGGGGAAGAACCATGTTTGACCCAACCCCAGTCTGATTCACTCTTATCAAAGGGTCCATTTTTAATTACCACCCTTTGATATCGGTTTTGGAGATACAATTTTAATAACATATATATGTTGTCAGTTATACCATAAAATTCAAGTTTATTAAAAGTATTTCGTGATTTACGCAGTCAAAAGCCTTCTCCAAATTGAAGAAGATTCCACCTACTTTTTTTTTATTGTTAATAGCTGCTAAAACTGTATTTATTAAGTTATATGAAGCTGTTTCAGTGGATAATTTGGGGCGAAATCAAAATTCTTCATTGGCTAGAATGTCATAAACGTGAACATGTGTCAATAATCTTCTAAATGTTATTTTTTCAAACACCTTGGTAAATGAAGTTAACAATGAGATTGGTCTATAATTTGCACAGTTCTTTTTATTACCTTTCTTGTATAGAGGAGTTACAATTGAGTATTTCATACGTAAGGGGAATTTACCAGCTAAGACTGCCTTGTTGAATACATAGCATAAAGGGGAAGAAATGTATGGGGCACTAATTTTTAGTGTCTTCATCAAAATCTCATCATATCCAGAAGAATTTTTGAATGTAAAGAAGAGATAACTTTTTCAATTTCTTTAGTTATTTTATTGAATATTATATAGGGAAAGGGGCCCCTAGCTGTCAAGTTCAGATAATGTTTGTAGTTATTGTTATTATCAGTATCTAAAGTAATTTGAGTAGAATTTTTTTTAGTAATATCAGCAGTATTTTAAAAATGATTATTAAAAATACTTGGATTTATTTTCTCAGTTTTACAGTTTTTGTCCTTCAGGCGGTTTTTACCTAACTCCGCTTTAATAATATTCCAAGTAGTTTCAATAGTATAATTGGACTTGGTAATTTTACCGTTATAGCTGAGTCTTTTTGCCTCATTAATCACTTACTCAGGATCTTACCATATGATTTATAATATTGCTATGGATTGTTGTTATCAAGTATTTTTGTCAAACGGTACAGTTATTTTTTCCTCTTGCAAGAAGTTTTAATTCCGATGGTTAACCATTGTTTAAGGGGAGATTGCTCATAGATTTTCTTTTTTGGAAAGCAAGCATAAAATATTTGCAGATGTGTATTTGCGAAGGTATTGAACATGTTGTCTATATTGTTATCCTCTGTATTAAACACATTTTCCCATCTCATAGCTTAATCTAAGTGAGAATTTATTAAATATCCGTACAGTTTTATGGTTTCGGTTAGCCCTTCCACAATAGAACTCTTTTTGATGTAAAGACAGTAATTGTCCATCATGGTCAGATAAACCATTAAATACTGGAAGAATAATATAGTTTTCAAATTTAGTTATCTATAAAGATATTGTCTATTAATGTTTGAGTTGTAGTGCTAATCCTAGTTGAGAAATGAACCACACTATATAAATTGAAAGACTGCAGCATGTAGGTCAATTGTTGCTTCTTATTATTATCTACAAGATAATTTATATTAAAATCACCGCAAACTAGCATCTGTAAATTTGGTTTATAAATTTTTTGATAACAGTTTCTAATTGGGTAATAAATAAAGGAAAATTACTGGACAGAGATCTGTAAATAGCTAAAATACAAAATATACTAGATATGTTAGTTATATAGTTATGTACATAAATACAAATGCCTCTCATAATGAAAGACTCCCTACAATAACTCGTTCCTAAATTATAATTATAGTCAAATTTTCAATTTGTGAATAATTTAAATGTTCTGTAAAGGAGAGTATTTGCGGAAATTCTGGATGTAGATGTGCGTAAATTTCACTGGACTTATTTAACAGGCCATGAATATTTTGATGGTAAGCTTGAAAACCATTATTATTAACATTTTCCTTATAAATATTACAATTTTTTTTATTAGTTTTAAGGCATTAAAATAATTTGCCTCTTTCCTACTTTCAGACGTTACCACAAAGAATTATCGTGTTTGTTAAGTAGAGATTTTTTTAATCTACTTGATCTGCGTAGTGGCTCAGAAGTTTGTGATTTACTTGCCTCCCTTGAGTAATTTTCACAAGTATGATTATTTATGTCAGATAAATTGTGGGTCTCATTATCAGAATTATTATTGTTTTCCTTCCAAGGCAAATAAACTGGTTTCATATCTCTGTGGAAGATTTTAGAACAAATCAGAGCAATGTTCCTATCCAATACATTTTATGTTCCTTGTATTTGAATTATTCACCACACTGAAAAATGTTTCAAATCCAAGTTACACATTTTAGTTAATTTTTTTATGTGCTGTGTTTCTTAACTACATTTGAGAAAATTGATAAAGTTTTGTTATAACTTCATGTAAAGTAAGGATGATGCTAAATGAGTACATACCAAAACGAAATTCGCATGACAGTTTTTGGTGTGCACTTCCAGATACCAAATTTCATCAAAGTCTGTTCAGTAATTTCAGTTACACATTGGATGGGACAGAGATGAATAGATCAGAGACGGTGACAAGCATGCAGACAACTTTACTAAAAGGGATATTACCAATTAATCATTTGGTTTGCAGCAAGAAGATGTATCAGTGCAACTAGAAGCATTGGATATTCTTGCAGATTTGTTATCCAGGTTTGGAGGCTTGCTTATTAATTTTCACACTACTATTCTGGCAGCTTTATTGCCACAGCTGTCTTCACCACGTCAGGCTGTCAGGAAGAGGTATGGCCAGATGCAAAAAAAACTTACTCCATTGAATTTCAGGAATGTTTTAGAATAGTAATAATGTCATAAATATAATAAATTTTGGGGAGAGGATTGGAATCACCATGTACTCTATTCCCCTTGCTATATGAAAACACTAGAAAACTTAATGGGCTTTTATTTCCGGAAGTGCAGCCCATACGAAGTTGATTTTTCTGTTTCTGACAGTGGCCTGTGATGATGGCAAATGTCAGGTACTGTTTACATGTTTGGATGAAAATTTTAACTTGCTTTAGTAACAACTTATGCTATATTGAAATTGTCATTGGTCTGCTTGATAAATATAGCAGACGCTAATTGTCAAATTTTCTTATGTAATCACTCTGTAACATTTATTTTTTATTTATACTATCACCACATAAGTAATGTTGTACATAAATTCAGTTACATACAATATCTGTGTTAAACTCTTAATTAGCTATTCATTGAGCCTCTAATTTTTGTTGTCAACGGATCTTATAAGTTACCTACATAACTTAGATTGTATACAGTGTGTTGTCACCTGAGTATTGGAGCGGTCTGTCACTTGGATGAAAACGAGATAGTGCACTTTTCTAGTTCTCCATATTGTGTTGCACTTTCTTTACACAGTTCCACAAGTGTATCTAACTTGCAAGTGTGAGATTTCAGAATATGTTTTGTCCCAAGTCACATGTAAACTGCGTTAGACCCACTTTTCTGAAAATTTGTGTTGATGAACTTAATACACACCAGTACTCGGTAACATGCTGAATATGTTGTAGGTATGTGCAAGAACAGTTCTTTCAGTTCAAGGCAAGTATTTTTAAGAATTTCTAGAATTTTGATCAGTATTATAATTTTCTCTGTTAGATCAATTTGTTCACTATAATCACAGAAGGATGAGGTGGGCAGGTCATGTAGCACGAATGGGGAGATGAGGAATGCGTATAGGATATTGGTGGGAAAGCCAGAAGGAAAGAGACCACAGGGAAGACCAAGGCGTAGGTGGGTGGACAATGGTAGAATGGATCTTAGAGAGATCAGATGAGATGGTATGGATTGGATTGATCTGGCTTAGGATAGGGACCAGTGTAGGGCTCTTGTGAACACAGTAATGAACCTTCGGGTTCCATAAAATGCTGGAAAATTCGTGAGTAGCTGCAGAATTGGTAGCCCCTCCAGAAGGGCTCAGCTCCATGAGTAAGTAAGTAAGTATAATCACAGTCTGTAACACTGGCTACTTGTTTCAGTGCTCTGTAGTGTACGCTTTTCTTTTTATGTGAGAGAACAGTGCCAAATGCAGAAGTAAAGATAGATGCAGTGTGAGTGTAAAGATGGACAGACACAAATTTTGTGGACAGATTGGTTCCTGCTGTCTTTGCCAGCTATTACTAGTGTGATGGATAAGCTAGTTTGCATGCTGCTGCACAAGGTAGTTACTTGGAAGATCGGTGTTTGAATTGAAACCAAGGTATCTTCGTGATTCGACCTCAGAAATTTGACACATGTCTAGTATATTGAGTATATATTTGCATTAATCACATGCACACTTAATTGACGTTTCCCGTCAAATTCAAAGGTTTTTAAAGTGAACACTAGGCTCAGATGTTATATTTGCAGACCAATTACTAATACAGTGTTCCAAAAGATGTGTGTTATGTGGGAATTAAATTGTATAACAAGCCTCCAGCAAGAAGCAAAAGTCTGTGAACTAATAGAAGGCATTAAAGAGTTCCTTTTGTCACACATCTTCTATTCTGTTGATGAATTTTTAATCCTCACCTAAGTAATAGCAACTTGTTAACCCTTTCCAGTCAACAGGTGCACTGGGTGCACCATTTAAAATATAAAAATTAAAAGGTAAAGAGTATGTTTTATGTAAAATTGTAGAGGATGCCAATACATGCCAACTTTGAATTATTTCAGCCATTTTGTTTTAAGAAGTTTTGGTTTCTTTTAGAGCTCAGTGCTTCCTGTCTTGCAGAAAGACAGATAAAAAAATGAACAGTAAATATCAGGATTTATTTGAACACTGTAAAATGTGAGAAAGAAGCTAAAATTGCTATGCATCTTTTATATAAATATTAGGAAGTCTTTCATCAGTATCATATTCAGTTAATGATCTTAATTGATGTCCTGTGTTAAAAGTACCTTTTATATAGTGATTAGCCTGCAGGTTTTGTATGCTCAGACATATATTTTGAAGTACCTGAATTGCATTTTTGCCAGTCCTGATTGATGCCTTATGTTTTTTTAATTTCTCCAGCTGGGTACATTCAGGTAGACCATGAATACATCCATGAAAATCCCTACTAATAACCAGTCATAATATTAATCCTATCTCATTCAGCACTGTATAACCAACGTAGTCGAAACAGCACAATTAAATAAACTATTAATCAGTCATAGTGTCTAACCATTATGGGGGGACAATTTTGTTTCCTTTATTATCTTTCCTGAAAATTCCAACGTATCCTTCATTTGCACATTAGCATATATTCTCGTAGTTTTTTTATGTTTTGTTGTTGTCCTTTGATTTAGTGAGTTTTATAAACTGTATTTTCCAGGACTATTGTTGCTTTGAGTCACCTGGTCATGTCGTGTAACCATCCACTTTATACTAAGTTGATCGACTTCCTTTTGGATGGTCTGTCTCATGACACTTCCACCTCAACCACTCGGACATACATCCAATGTATTGCAGCCATTTGGTAAGTTGAATCTTCCTAGAAGCATTTGTTTATTTCTACGAGAATATTTTGTAATTGTGTGCTTCAGTCTTAGACCTCTCCTGTGGTCTGAGGTTGTGGGTTCGATTCCCGGTGCTGCCAGATTTTCTGAGGAGTAGTGGGTCTGCAATAGGGTCCATTCAGCCTCGTGAGGATAATTGAGGAGCTATTTCAAGAAGTAAGGGCTCTGATCTAGAAAACCCAAGATTAATGGCTATGGGAATCTGTTTCACTGACCACGTGACACCCTCTATCTGCAAAAGTTGACACTAACTTCACCAACAAATGGCAGTTGCTCGGTTGATATAGTTCACTTGTGGACTACAGGCCATGGAGTTGGTTTTTTGTTTTGTGCTTCAGTCTTATGTTGATGTTGCTCTCTGATTAATGTGCAAGCAATATTTCATGAGCAGTAGTAATAATCTCACTTAAAACAAGATATCTGGTCAGTCCTCTTTCCTCTTTTGTCAACTTCTCATGCTGTATTTAGCCAACTAAAATACATTTTTCATTTCAAGATGCTGCTTCTCCAAGAAATTTGCACATAAAAAGTACTTTTATATGTTAAATTTATACATTTAATGCTAGCGAGCATGTAAAGAAGAATGAATATTTGAAAACATGTTAGACATTATGATTATTAAGTCAGTTTCTCTCTTTATGGTCTTAAAGTCACTTGGTTTTACTCATTCTCTCCAATCAGGCTCCCCTTCTTTGCCATTCCAATCTTTTTCAGCTTTGCTGATTTTACAGTTCCAACTTGCTTTCTTACATTCACTCTCTTCATCATTCCCAGTTGTATCACCCTCAGTGTAATTTCTCACGTTGAGGAATTGCCATTTGTCGTAGATTCGGTGGCACTTTGCTCAGTCTCCTGATAACTCATGGCTCCTGATCTTGAGACATGTTCATCTCCCTCCCACTTGCAACACTGATAGCAGGATACAGTGTGAACTTTGGCATATACTACATTATAAAACTGTGAACCCATTGTAACCTTGAAGTGGTTAAAACAGTGATGTGGTGACCTTAATTTTTTAACTTTAAAAATATGGAAAGAAACCTCATCATCCATCCAGGTAAATATGGTTACTGACGTGACATCTTTTGGATAAGTCAGCTTCCTGCCATGTGTTCACAGTGTCTGAGTTAAGCATTGGTCCTAATTGTATGTATGATTGAGGTCCTAATGGTATGTATGATTGAAATGTCTTTGATTTGCCCTGTATATTTTGTGTGTTGTATATTTTAACGTTAGAAACGTTATACTAGTATGCAAATGGAATGAAACCATTAGTAACAGAAAATGGAACAATTTTCCATAAGTAACAGAATATGTAACAGTTTGTAAATATTGGTACCTTCGCTGCTAAGTAACCGAAGTTCTGTTGTTGACCTCATTACCATGGAAATGTGAACAGCAAAGCACTAGAAGATAACAATGAAGCTGTAAGGAGCATGTAGCATAACACTTGTGCAACCTCTTACGTAACCGCTGATAACTCAAGACCTATGGTGTATGTTATATTAAAAGTTATATGTAAATGAAAGAATAAAGACTGATGTATCCAAAATTGATGTTTATTTTATTCCAAAAATAAAATCGTACATTGTTTAAACAGTTACTTAAAACATGTAATAATTTTCATAATTTTACAGACTTTCAACCGCCTACCATGGCTAAACTATAAGAGTTGGATCCAGACTCTTTTTGATACAAAAAAAAGCAGTTCGTTTAATGACACGATATAGTAATAGGCATTCATGCAGAAATCTTTTTAGGCAGCTAGGAATCTTACCGTTGAAGTCTCAATATATTTATTCAGTTTTGCTCTTTGTATCAAAGAATAGTAAACTGTTCACTACTAACCATGATGCACATAATCTCCAGACAAGACAGAGAAGTAATTTATATCTCCCAACTTCCACCTTAACACTGTATCAAAAAGGTGTTTATTTTACGGGTATAAAGTTATTTAATAATTTGCCTCTTGAAATAAAGGGGATGGTTGGGAAATACAAGCAATTTAAGATTTCTCTAAGAAGATATTTGATTACTCATTGTTTTTATGACTTGGAGGAGTATTATAGTGTTAATGAATGATGTTGTAAATAATGGTTTTAAATGAATTTGCATGTTATCTTATACTAATTATATGAGTCTATCTGCATAAAAGTTTTATTGTATTTATGATAATATTTGTTGCCATTTATATCATTTATTTATTTAATTTATTTATTTTTTGCTTTATATTTGTGACATGCTCTTTTGAGCTCAAATAATTTCTTAACTGTGTTTATGATTGTATTGTATTTTTATATTTTGTTTATGTCACAATATTGACATGTTCTAGTCTGTATTTTAACATGTTCTATATCCTATGGTTTGTAACCAGTTTTGTTGGATCTTCTGGAACTCGAAATAAATTACAATTACAATTACAATTACATATTGTGAGTGAAATATGTTAATAAATGTGAGCTTCTCAAAAATGCAGTCCGTTTTGGCCCATCACTTACAGATTAGGAGTTAGACCATTTGTTTGTAACAAATACAGCAATTCAGTTTCTCTGTTTAGTCACATATCATGGTAATGTGATAAGCAGGGCCCGGTTTTTGATGACCTGTAAATATTAAAAAATGACCGAAAAAATCCAGAAAAATGACCTAAAGGAGAAAAGGAAGAACACTTCGCTTCCTTGTTATTCACATTTCAGAAAACATATGAAGAAAAATTCCCTAAAATGGCCAAAAATGACAAGAAATACCCTTAAACGTCCAAAAAATTACCCCAAAAGTGAAAAAATGACCTTAAACCTAAAAATGTCAAAAAATCACAAAACATTACATATCAAATTTACATTTCTGTTACCAGCAGATCATAACCAAGATTTATATATTTAAGAGCATCGCATAGGATACAAGGATAAAAAGATGACATGTCATCAAAATCCGGGCCCTGGTGATAAGTATTTCATGGGTTCTGGATTAGATTAATCGGTTTATTGGATATTCACCAGGTCGAACTACAATTATTTGTAACGCAGTCTTACTATAGCTAAACACTTTGTAACTACGAACAATGATAGCACTAAAGGTTACTGTAACTACACAACATAAAGTAAAGACTTCACTTCTGACTTTTTCTTCTGAGTTCTATTTGTCTTCCGTCTTCTGTCGTATTCTGTATTCAACTAATGTGTTTGTCAGTTCTCTCCCTGGGGTAGGTCTTGGTCATACCGTATGGAGAGCACCTCCTTCAACAGTAAAGTTATTGCGTCCTTCGCTGTTACTGTGCTTTGGAGGTTCATTGCCATGGATATCGGCTTTTACTCATGAAATTTACACTGCACTTATCAAAACTAGTAACTGTAGTTAGTTGATTGTGTTATGAAGGAAATGTGTTTACCAAGCAGTTGCCTAGCTAGTCATGTTACACATGAATTATTTTTCCAAATTTGACAGACTTTCAACTGCCTGCCACAGCATTTTCAACGTTAATCCTGGGAACCAAGGTTCCCCAATCATTTTTTAAATACTGGGCTCCCTGTCTATTTAAGTATGGGTTTGTATCATGTTTTGCAGTCGACAAGCAGGCCATCGATTTGGTGAGCACATTGAACGAGTCATGCCCCTGATAGTGCGGTACAGTCGAGAGGAAGATGATGAGCTCAGGGAGCATTGTCTGCAAGCCTTCGAAGCATTTGTACATCGTTGCCCCAAGGAAATTACTCCACACATTCATACTGTAAGTCATTAATCCCACAATCTATTCTCAGAAGAATTTCTTTAAATTGGATACCTTTTAGTGTAGGTGTATTTGTTGGATATGTTTGTTAAACTGAAAGTGGGCATATGTAGTTATATTATAGTAAGTTCCAAGATTCTAAGACCTCTCATATCAGGGGACTCTAATCATATTTTAAATTTCATATAATTTGGAAAGAAGTCTGATGAAAGTCAATTTTGCATGTAAAAATTAAACTGTTGATTAGACTGTTAAGCCTTTCTGTTTGTTCCTGGACTAATGTATGCTTACAAGCCACAGTGCTGGCCAAGAGAGAAAAAAAAGATTCCCACCTGTTGATGTGTAAAGTGCTGTGAAACACTGTCTCTTAACTACATTTATACTAATGATTTCACTTTTCTTTAAGAGATCGGGTGAAGGTCTGTGATAATGTAGTATGATCACATCACATTACAGCAGAGCTGTTTTGTATGCTATTCCATGTTTCAGAACCAACATTTTGTGTGCAAGTAGTGCTTCTCTGTGTTCGAGCTCTGTGCCCCATCAGTAGTAGTCTTCTTGATATAACTACCCTAACCATTTTAGGAGGAGCATATAAATTAGTGATAAGTGAATAATGCTTTGTAAAGGATGAAGGAAGGAATAGCAATTGTTACATAACTGGAGGTAGTGTCCTGGCATTTGCCTAGAGATACTGAGGAAAATATGAAAATTCTGTCAGTTTGTGTCAGCCAGAGTTCAATATGGGCATCTTCTGGATACATGTCAGCACCATTACAGTTTGAGCTTATACACTTGGTCAGATGCTTTCCATTTATGCTGTTTGGAGTGAAAGATTGCATTTTAGAACCATACACAATAGCAGACAGACCACATTACCTATGTTAGTGGTTTCCAAATTGTGGAGTGCATGCCCCTACAGGAGCTTGACTAGTTATGGGAATTAAGGCTGTTGTAGGTAAATTTTATAGTAAAAATGAATTGAATGTAATTCTCAAAATACCATAACATTCATGAAATATGGACAAATATTAATTGATATAACACTGAAGTGTGTTAATTAAAAAGAAAAAAATGAAAAACTGAAAATCCTACTTGCACACATCATGTGCACATGCACATGCACGCATAGAATTGAGAAGGGCATGATTAAAGTCCACTAAGCTGAGGTGTGCCATTACATAAAGTTTGGGAACCACTGATCTGTTTTATTCTCAATGTATTGTAGATTACAGAGCTATGCCTGACTTACATTGTCTATGACCCCAACTATAATTATGATGATGAGGGAGATGAAGGTGAGGATGGAGTTGTAATGGAGACTGAGGAAGAAGCTGATGATGATGACAATGACGAATATTCAGATGATGATGACATGAGCTGGAAAGTAAGAAGATCTGCTGCGAAATGTCTGGAGGCTGTCATAGCAACCCGACATGAACTGCTCTGTGAATTCTACAGGGCACTGTCTCCAGCACTTATTGCAAGGTTTAAAGGTATGGGCTGAAGAACTTGATAAAGTAATGAAGTCTGTGATGTGACTGTCAACTGTTCTGCTTGATTGATTACATATTTTATTAATATATGTGTTATATGTATTAATAGTATTAATAAATTATAATAATTTTCTTAATCAGTCAAGAAATATAACCTCATGTCATCTCACCTGTGTGTTGAAAATGCAAAATTTAGCATAAAGATTTTCATGTATTTCATAAATTCCTCTGTTTTTGGCTTTGACTTTCATTTAATAAAATTAGACATTTTTATTTTGTATCATATCTGGAAGCCCCTTGAATTAGAGTTCCCAAGGTGAAGCTGTGCGCTTGGTTATTATTCTGTTGTCCATGAGAATTTAGAATTAGATCAGATTAGAATCAGATGAAAGTGATTCTGCTCCGTTGGCAGTTGATAATATGCTGAAAATTTTTATTAAAACAGGTTCTCACTACATTGGTTGTTTGCACCAAATTTATACTAGTGATTCTGTAAACACCATAAACTAAAAAGACCTGTTGCCTTTTTGGTTCCCACTTCACATCCATCTAATGTCAAGATTAAGAATGCATGGAGCTGATCTCCACTTCCACACAGCTTCACAATGTGGTGCTAAAAAAGCGCAGAGATAACTTTACCCATGCCATTACTTCTGCCTTATACTGTATTTACTTGCTTAAGTTATGGTCCCCTACGTGTAAATTACAAATTTAGAGAAAGAAATTGAATACTGTAAACCCCTGATTATCCGGTCTAAACTGGACCAGAATGTTGTCAGATAGCCAAAAATGTTGGATAATATGAATAACAATAAGAACACAGAGCGAATATCTACACAGTTTTATTCACAATTGTAGTGTCAAAAAGAAGTGCAGAACTAAACCTTTCTAATTGAAAAAGTCATACATACACACTAAAATCTTGAAGTTCATTGTTTAAAGAAGCTTGCAGTTACAGTTTGTTTTCCAGCTTCCATCTCTGATCATGTTTTCTGCAAAAGTTGTGTGTTGCTCAAAATATTATCAAGGGAAATTTTTTTCTTTCAGTCAATGAATTGCATGCTGGAGTTCATAAGCACAAATATCCACACTGTTTTGTTACGTCACTGAAATTTTTTTCAACAGACATTTTCATCTCACTGTTTATCAGGAATTTCATTGTGGTATCCATGCCATGTTGCTACATTGCATTCAGATTTAATCATGTTTTCTGTGAAAATTATACTTTGATCAAAATTTTGTCAATGGGAAATTTTATCACAGTATTCATCAAGGATTTGCATGGTAGAGTCCATAGGCATGAATACCCATGCCATACTACCTCATTGCATTCAGCTGAATCAAATTTTCAACAGAAATTTACAAAGGGGCATTTTTATCTGAATCTTAATCAGTAAGTCACAATTAAAGCAAAAGTGCAGAGGCTTAGAATTGTAATTTACACATTATATGTAGTATATAAATTTTATATATATATACATTATAAATGTAATACATGTGATCCATAATTTTGTTGTATGGAGTTTTTAGCATGGTTTGAGAGAAATGTATGTCTTTGCGATATTCCATGTAAATCATAAGCTTATTTTATATTTGTCAGAACGAGAGGAAAATGTGAAGTCAGATATTTTCCATGCATACATGGCTCTCCTGAGACAGACAAGACCGTCTGTTGGTGTGAGTCTTGATCCAGACTGTATGGACCAGGAAGAGGGACCAGTGTGTATGCTACAGACACAGGTGCCAGCCATTGTGAAGGCTGTACACAGCCAGATGAAGGAAAAGAGCATCAAGACTCGACAGGACTGCTTCACTCTCCTCAAGGAGCTGGTCATTGTGCTGCCTGGAGCCCTGACTAATCATATCCCTGCTCTCATACCAGGCATTCAGTACTCCCTAGGGTTAGTACTAATGTTTCTGAAGCCATATATTACAGTATTTACTTACCTGCCTTCAAGTGAGATGAGTAAGTGATGTTCGGAAAATGTAATCAACAGTTAAAATTGTTAATAATGAACAGGGGTTAAGACATCTTCCTGTTCACAGATTGGAGGAGTCACCTTTGCCAAAACTGAAACTTGTGGCCCTGCTGTAATTAGAGCTTTCATTAAAAGTATATCCAGTATTTAGGTCTACTCTGTCTGTCCTCATTCTCATTATGTTCCTTTCATCAAGAATACTGCAATCATTGGGGTGTCTACATCCACCCAAGAAGTGATTTCAACTTGCCAGGCAGGTGGATGATACAGAGGCAAGATAGCTCAGTTGGTATAGCAGTGGGCTCTGGGCTGGATGGCCATGGTTTGATTCCCAGTAGGAGCAAGATTTTTATATTCTCTATAGCATCCGAAGCAGCTTTGGGGCCCACCCAACCTCCTGCCCAGTGGCTACTAGGTGCTTTTTTCTTGGGGGTAAAGTGACAAACATGAAACAGACACTCATCTGCATCTAGTGCTGGGGTCAGGAATGGTGGAGTTATGCCTCCACTCCCCCACATGTCTTTATGGCATGGTATGTAATGAATTTAGCACAGAGACAACATTGCCTTATACCTTTGGTGGACAGATGATAGGAAATATCATTAGACTGTAATGAGGGACATTCACTGGATACTGTTATGTGTTCGGTCTTTCCTAAGTAACTTTGGTGTTTGCTGTCAGTCTGAATATCTGCCCTGTATTTTATTTTACTTTGGTTTGATCCATGGATGTAGTGTGGAAAAAATCAAGCATCTGAATCCAGCACTGCAAAAGTTGACACCAATCCACAGATGACCGGGTGAATGAAATACCTTTGCCTTGCTTTGTTCTGATGGGTCTAGTTCAGGAAGCTTGCATGTTCAGTGTTACAGGGCCCACATTACCTGACTAATCGATATATGTAAGGGTGAAAGGTTTTGATATGTTTTGTAAAACATGAAGCCAGTAGTTGTAGTAAAAAATCTTTATTTGACTTTTAGGCATTTATCATCTGAAGTTATGTGCTTTAATTCCTGAATCCTTTAACAGACCAAAGTGAAATTTTGCAAAGTTTCTAAAATTCAGTCACAAAATTAATACTGATTATGATTTTGGATGCGATTATATTATCACAATTTTGTGGAGTGACTATAGATGGATTTTCACAAATTTATTGCATTCTTATACACACAACTAGTAACTACAAGTAACCATAGTGCAGCTGCTAATTCACACTCTGCAATTCACCACAGCACACACCTAGGTCTTCTCAGCCTGCTGTATCTTCACTAGTTTTCTGGTAATGGCTTCCAATGGTGGAAAATCCCCTTCCTCTGGATTCCAAAACTGACCTTGTGCCTCATCTGCCAGCTTCTAACAGCAACAGCTCAGAAGGACTGGACTGCAGCAGACCTGTAACTCACTCACTAACTCATTCTACTTATAACATCTCAGCACGGACCACACAGAAAACACCATTTCTCTCTTGCTGTGCCTTTGTTGTAGGCGCAGCCATCATTGCAGGCTGTTGCTGTTTACGGACCATTACCTAGTAATGGCTATTGTTTTGCTGTGGTTATCCAGCAATGGATTTCCATGCCACAGTATTTTAAGACATAGTCTTCCATGTTTCTCATTAAATTATCAAATGAAAATAGGCCTGAGACCAAATATAGAGTATTGAGATAATAAATGTGCTGTCTCATTCTTTTATGGGCCATTATTGGAATTAGACATAATTTGATTAGATTGAACTTTGTATTATTCTCTGAATTTGAGTGATGTTTCAGACAAAATTTGGAGACATTAATATGCAAAATATGTTATAGTGCAATCATATTTTTGTAATTAATCATTTTAAAAACTCAGTTCACTGGCAGACAGCTGCTAGCATGTTATAGAAACAGGTTTGTTCCAGAAGAATTTTATAGAATTATTGGTTTGTAAATTTGTCATCAACTATTACAAGAATCACAGTTTTTTTATTAAATAAATGTTTTATCTTTCAGTGATAAAAACTCCAGCAGCAACATGAAGATTGATACATTGGCTTTTGTGTACTGTTTGCTAACATCACATCCACCTGAAGTGTTTCATAGCCACATGGCTGTGTTAGTTCCACCTGTGATCACAGCAGTTGCAGATGGCTTTTATAAAATCACTGCTGAGGCACTGCTTGTCCTACAGCAGCTTGTTAAGGTCATACGTCCTCTAGGTGAGTTATACTCTTGTATGAGGTAGAAATGTAATGAACACAAAGTCTATGGTCCAAAGTAAGACAAAACATGAATAACTTGGCATAAGTTAAGACAGATGCATACAGTTTTTATGTGGAAAACACATCATATGTGGCCATTTGAAAGAAGACTGAGAGAATGGTGTAGAGCTAGGTTAAGACCTGATGGTTCTACTGTCAGAATTATCTATGATTAACTAAAATGAGGTAGGCTTGTCTACTTCCAGTTGCTGTTTACATCAGATCTTGTAGCATTCCATGCTTCATGTGAGAACACAAAGAACACCAATACTGTAAATGGCTGAATTAAGTAGAAATTTTTGGAAAGTGAAGATACACTCTTGTGAGCACAAAGATGTTGATTTCAACTGGTACTGCTTTAAAGCCCCCATATCTCACATATGATGTAGTATGGATGTCCATTGGTTTTGGTTTTCCATACGTGTAACATTAAAAAATTGATACAATGGATTTTGTCACCATAATAAAGTCCTCATTATAAACCACTCTCTGGTGCAGTTTCATTGTGATGTTACTTTATATGTTTAGATACACCAAGTAATTTTGACTTCACCCCATTTACTGGTGAACTGTATCGTTGCACATTAATTCGTCTGAAGGCAGCAGACATTGATCAGGAGGTGAAGGAACGGGCAATATCTTGTATGGGTCAGATCATCTGTAACCTTGGGGATTACTTACAGGTAATTCAACTTATAGTAGTGAGCTGAGATGAAATACATACTGGTGTAATTGACAGTATGGGCTAATTTTTAGTATATAAGAAATCATTGTTAGGACACAAAGTTTTTGTGATATAAATCAGAGCTATGGTGGAGGAGGAACAGGGTAGAATGTGAGAGAGAGAGAGACAATCTTCCCCTCACTTTGTCTCCATAGTTAGAGCATTAGAACTTTACTTGTTCAGTTTTAAAATATGTTCTGAATACAGTTGAATCACCATTTAATACTCTTTGATATAAGTTTCTCCTTCATTTTGGGTTATATTTGTAGATCCATACCAACTGTTGAAGCACTGACTGAATGGGATTTCTATACTAGTATGTCACATTCATTATCTCGTAGAGAAATGGATATTTTTGTTTCAAGTTGCTGATTCTAAGAAGTGCTAAAACTTATTTCTGGTCACATCCTCAGCAGGACAGTTTTTAAATCTGTAAGCTTTCTGTAACACTACAAGATTTGTCTGTGTTCTGTATCAGATTTTTTAGTTCTACAAAATCGAGGGTTCTTTTTTATTTTAAGTAATGGGGCATTGCAGTGAAGCTTTCTTATGCTACAGGTAATTTATTTTTGTGATTTCATTGGTTACTAGCAAAGTTCATCTTTATATGAAGTTAATTTATTTTATTCTTAGGGTGAACTTCATACTTGTCTGCCCATCTTCTTGGACCGTCTTCGCAATGAGATCACTAGACTTACTACAGTAAAGGCACTTACTAAAGTAGCTGGTTCACCATTACGTATTGATCTGCGACCAATTCTGGTAAGTGTTGATGTTCATCTTTGGTTGAATTGAGAGCTTAAGCTAGAATTTGTTATATTACATATTGCATCCATTTATGTATGACATACTTAGTTTGAATGTGCGTTTTGGCATATCTAAGTGAGCTGTGTGGCTTGGAGATAGCTTTCTAACAAATCTATATTCAGTGCCATAGATTCATGATGAATGATTACATTGTAGGTAAGTGTACTTGAGATTTCCAGATTTTTCTTGCCATTTGTTCATTGTTATTCTCATGATTGATGCTCAACCCCTTCAATGGCAGGTTAAAATTCAATTAGTGTTTTCTAGCATGTGAAGTACATGAGTATTGTATCCAGAAAGCTGTGACAGACAATTCTATATGGGACTTCCCTCTTCTGAGGGCACGCAATAGCATAGTTGGTTGAGGCACTATGCTACAAGCCAGAAGGTCGCGGGTTTAAGTCCCAATGAGGTCATTGGATTTTTTCAATTTACCTAATCCTTCCAGCTTCACTATGACCCTGGGGTCGACTCAGCCTCTAACAGAAATGAGTACCAGTAATATTCTTGGAATGTTCTTGGGGGTAAAGGGCATGTAGCATGTAAGGCTGGCAACCTTACCACCATCTATGAGCTGATTGTCTAGAAAATGTGGGAACCTCGACATCTCACAACCCTATGGGCCTCCGAAGCCTGTGACAGGGATACCTTTACTTATTTTACTTTTACTTTCATCTTCCTAGAAACATAAAACGCTGTGCAGAAGCTTCCTCACAGCCTGGAGAAGCACTGAGATGTAACAGACACTGCACAGAACTGTATAGGCTGTCCTGAACATGGCCCACGTTTTAATCCCTCACATCATCTGTTCATTGACTGTATGAAAAATGTAGAATGAGATTGTAAGGAAGTGATTCACTGCAGAGACTTTAATTTTGTGAATCTTATTTGCAGGGTGAAGCAGTGCCAATACTAGGTTCATTCCTTCGAAAGAACCAACGTGCACTAAAATTGAGCACACTAACCTTGTTGGACACGCTTGTACGCAACTACAGCAATGCCCTAAATACAGAATTACTCAATAAGGTTAGATGGTGTTTGTGATATTTTAAATTTATAGCTAGCTTTTTATGTTTGGTTATTAAGTAAATTGAACCATGTAATATAATTGTAAGAAGTTAAGATTTTGGAGCAAAGTGACTGGGACCAAAAAACATTTTCTTTGATCTTAATTGAGTTAAAGATAAGATGGAATAACTGTGCATTGTTACATCCCAAATGATAATACTCTTCTCAGTTACTGCTGTGAGAAACTAAAATTCTGAAGTCTTATTTATTTGCTTTCTGTCTCTCATGTTAGATCTGTTTTTTAGGTATCTCTTAGAGTTCATATTGTGATGCTTTCTAATGTAAGTTCACTAATTAATTAAAATACTTCCTGAAGGAAATTCATAAAGAAGTTAAGGCAAATACTTGGAACAGGCAAAAATCTGACAAAAAGCAGTAACACAATTAGTATAAGGTTATTTGCACAAGAAGAAAGACAGAAAATAAAACGGAATGGACAAAAATATGGAAACACCATGTGAAATGCTTACCTGAATTGAAGCGTTTATTTTAGTGACATTTGTAGGTGACACTGTCGTATCTGCCCAATACCACTACCTGTATAACCTCCGCAATACGTTGCAAGCTTCATTTGTTGTTGAGACAGCGTTCTATGCAGTTTTTAGTACATCATGTCAGAGCTAACAGAATTCGAACGCAGGCAAATTGTTGGAGCCTGTATGGTGGGTGCTTTCATAACCAAGGTAGCTGAGGTTTCTGGTGTTTTGCGAGGCACAGTGTCCAAGATTATGACTGCATACTGGAGGACTGGAAAAACCGATAAACACCAGCGTGGACGGAAATGTGTGTTGAGTGATCGAGACAGACGAACATTGCGTAGGATTGTGACAAAAAGTAAGAAGACTGCAGCTGCAGAAGTGACTGCGGAACTGAATGTCATGCTCACAAACCCTGTCGGCACCAAAACAGTATGAAGGGAACTCCACAAGCAGGGTATTTCTGGATGAGCTGCAATTCCAAAGCCACTCATCAGTGATCAAGATGCTGCAAAAGGAGAGTGTGGTGCCGAAGTCATAAAACCTGGACTGTGGAGCAATGGAAGACAGTCATTTGGTTGGATGAGTCCACCTTCATATTGTTTACGTCTGGAGAACGCCATCCCAAGCTTATGATCCAGATTGTTTGCTGCCAAGAGTGAAACATGGCAGGGGTTCAGCCATGGTATGGGCAGCCATTTCGTGGTATTCTGTCAGACCCACCATTACCGTGCAAGGGCACAACACTGCCAACGACTATGTGACCATTTTGGATGACCAGGTCCATCCCATGGTGCAAACTTTGTTCCCCAATGGTGATGCCGTTTACCAAGACGACAAAGCCCATGTTCACACAGCTCACATCATCCAGAACTGGTTTTCCGAGCACAAAGATGAACTGTCACGTCTGCCATGGCCCCCACAATTGCCAGATATCAATATTATTGAGCCTTTATGGTCTATTTTGAGAGCAATCTGCATGTGCGCTATCCACCGCCATCATCGATAACAGAACTTGCCAATGTTTTGCAGGAAAAATGTTACAAGATTCCCTTGCAAATCATACAGGACCTCTATTTATCCATTCCAAGGAGACTGCAAGCCAGAGGTTGTCCTACACCATATTAGTCACGGTAATGTGTTTGTTGTTGGGTGTTTCCATATTTTTGTCCATCCCCTGTACAAGGAGGGCATAAACAAAAGAAAAATTCCATATTAGTGCAGGGTATGTTCTAATAACATTGATGTGCAAAAGTATTTTAAATAATAGTTCATCGTGTAAAGCAATTGAATATATCTTCATGAGACTTTGAACAGTTAGGTTAGAAAATGTAATATTAACCCCTCAGGTCTGAAAAACAGATGAAACATGTAAGATGAAAGACATGCAATGAATTCATAGAACAGCAAATAATAAGTTGTGTTCTGTGGTAACTATAGATACAAAGTGAGGTACATTCAAGGTAAGAATAGGATTTGAAGTTGCAGAAAAAAGAAACCTTGTATTAAACCCTCCTTCCCAACCACCTTAAATGTGCTGTAGGTTAAGGTAAGACTGAGCCCACTTGGTACACTGGCCCCGGTTTGGCCAATTGTACTGGTTCCAGGTGGTGATAATAATAGATGGGTGTGGAACAGATGGTTGACTGAGGCTGTGAAACAGCTGTTGCAGTGGGAAGCCTGTGACTAACCACCTGAGCCATGGCCCAGCACCAGAGAGTTTTAAAATGGGGCTGATCTATATGTCAGAGATGAAAAAGTTCAGAGTAGATCAGATATAAAATCATGATTTTTTTAAAGGAATGTGCTGAGTGAGTTAGCTAGTATATAATCTCTTTTTCATTTAAGTAGGTCCCTTGTCACCATGGCATGGCACATCCTCAGGTTGCAGATGGAGGAGACAGCCTCCAGATATGGAGGGTAGCTGCGAATATATTGAATAAGCAGTTGTGGGCAGCCAACAAGGGGTGGTCCTCCAGCTTGGGGGTTGAGTGTGGGGCTAAAAACTCCTCATCATAAAAAATAAGCTTGTTATGAAATGTCACAAGGGCGTCGGACCTGGACATATTATATGGACCAGTGGATGGCTCTTGTGAACATGGTAATGAACCTTCAGATTGCATAAAATGCTGGGAAGTTCTTGAGTATCTGCACAATTGGTGGCTTCTCAAGAAGGGCTCAGCTCCATGAAGTTAGTCATCATCATCTCTTTTTTACTTCTACAAAGATGAAACGAATGAAGGCAGCTTCAAAGTCTTTGTTCATAATATGTAGTTCAGTAAAGAAAGGATTATGTTTTTGAGCACCATAAAGTGTGTGTAAGGAGTAACAAAATTCTGTTTCACCCTTTTGACTGATTGCCCTATATGAATCATCCTAACTGAAATTCTTTCAGGTTATCACTGAGCTGGCTCCACTGCTAAGTGAAGCAGATCTCCACATAGCACAGCTGACCCTAACATTACTGACCTCAATAGCCCAGTTGCACTCTGCAGCTCTTGCTCGTGTTTCTGATGGAATCTTGCCAGAGATCCTCACGCTAGTCAAATCACCATTGTTACAAGGTGCGTTTTTGGATTAGTGCCTGCCAGAAATCTTGAAATGTATTTAGTTTCTTAGAGATCATCTTTTTTCCATTGTTATACATATTAACACACACAACAGACTGCAGAAACTAAAGAAAGAAGAATAAGGGCAAGGAAACTGGCAGCTGCAACGCAACCACAATTTCTGAGAACTGTTATCAGCCTGAGTTGGACACGTGTTACTGAATAGAACAATGCAAATGAGGAAATTGCATTGCCATTTCCTCAATTTGCACTGCTCCATTCAGTAACATGTATTCATCTCAGGCTGATAACAATTCTCGGAAATTGTGGTTGCGTTGCGGTTGCCAGTTTCCTTGGTTTTACTGAACACATTGATGTAGCATTAATGCTTTGGAATTGTATTTGGGAAGTGCTTGGTTTGCATTTTGTTTGTGACACTGGCTGCCCTGATTGAGGTTTTTCATTGTTTTTCTCTGTCCCTCTAGGCAAATGCAGTGCCTTGGTTAGGTTACAACCGTATTAGTTACCACAAAAAGAATAGTTTTGGCCATGATATCACAGAAGTGATAAAGTGGAATAAATGGTTACCTGTGCTTCCCTTCACAACTTCATATCAGTGGCCCATAATTCAACACTATAAACATATTAGACAGAGAAAAGAAATTGAGAAAAATTGATGTATAGTTGGTAACCTGCTGCTTAGTCACTGCCCTTGATATGAAATGTGACCTGGAATCAAAATACTAGCAAAACCGACAGCTGTAACAGCAGTGTTAAACAAAAAAGAATGCAGGTTATTGAAACAGGTGCTGTGTTTTCTCTTGTTTATAGAATATATTGTTACAAGTTGGGTATATAACGCGACACATAACTTCATGCTGTATTGGATGTAGTGAATTTATTAAACACTCGCTCTTACATTTACACAATTCACAGTTTCACAACTACTGCCATCGGCAGTATCACAATTACTTCCACTGCTCTCGGCGACTTCATTATCCACACTGTGTCACTCCTAATCACACACACCACTCAGCCGGCTTCTTATACCGTTCCCTGTTGCCCCGTGTTAACAGTGGTGTCCCCTGTTACGTCACCGCAGGGACATCAGAGTGTTTACTGGCCTGTTATCGTAGCAGCTGCAGTGGCGCCTATGTTACATAACCGCAGGGGGGTGGGGTGTTTACTGAGCGCTGCACAATGATAGAAGGAGTGGGGGTATGTGACGTCACTTGTGAGACCACAGAGTTCACGTGACCCCTTCTTCCTGTTGCACCATCCACGTCACAATATATAAATATGCAGAATAGGGATATAGATGGAGCTACTGCCATATTTATTAACAGCAAACAGGAATAATATTTTCTCTTGATTATCTTTTTCATAAATATTTAAGCTGGAAACATCTTTTGACTTTCACCTGACTGCTCAGTATTATGTCCCAGAAGAGAGAACTCTTCATAGCCACCTCTGTGAGAACCTCAAATTCATTCTGGCATGACTTCTTTCATATCTTCATTTTGTAAAGGTAAAAAAGTAAAGTTGTCCCTGTGCTTAACTGATTAAACACTACACCATGAAGGTATATGAGGGAGTGGATATAAAAGAGGAATGTGTTTACCAAGTTCTTGCCTTTCGACAATAAGGGGGTATACACTGACAGCTGGGGGCACGCAGTAGCGTAGTTGGTTGAGGGCCTATGCTACAAGCCGGAAGATCGCGAGTTCAAGTCCCGATGAGGTCATTGGATATTTTTCAGTTGACCTAATCCTTCCAGCCGCACGAGGTCCTGGGGTTTACTCAGCCTCTAACAGAAATGAGTACCAGGAATAAATTAAATAATTTTCCTGGGGAGTAAAGCGCGTAAGGCTGACAACCTTACCACCATCCATGAGCCGATTGTCTAGATAATGTGGGACCCTCAGTGTCTCACAACCCTATGGGCCTTCACGGCCTGTTACAGGGATAGCTTTACTTTACTTTACAGTGACAGCTAGGCGATCTCATATGCTTTTGTTTGTTTTGTTTAAAATAAGGAAAGTAGGCTAAATATGAGGGGGGACCCAAAAATAACCGGAAACGACCTGTTGCGCGCGCATGCTTTGTAGTTACGAGTTGTGCTGCTAGGTGGTGTTAGCTGGGGGTCTCCCGCGACTGTTAGTGAGCTGGCGTCAGTCTGAGTTAAGTGGTTTGTCTGTGGTGCTCTGTTGTGTGCGTTCCTGTTTCAACCCTTTGGCGATTAGTGAGATGGCCGACCAGAAGGAACAAAGAGTGTGCGTGAAATTGATGAAGATCGTCGAAAGACCATTGACCAACTTTCTGAGGAAACGAACATCTCATGGAGCACGGTCCAGCGAATTTTAACCGAAGGTTTGCACATGAGACGGGTGTCTGCAAAATTTGTTCCTCGCTTGCTCGGAGATGACCAAAGAGAAAACCGCGTGAATGTTTGCCGCGACTTGAAGAGTGAAGTGCAGTTTTCCCTAACAGAAAGCAAAATTTCACGCACACTCTTTGTTCCTTCTGGTCGGCCATCTCACTAATCGCCAAAGGGTTGAAACAGGAACGCACACAACAGAGCACCACAGACAAACCACTTAACTCAGACTGACGCCAGCTCACTAACAGTCACGGGAGACCCCCAGCTAACACCACCTAGCAACACAACTCGTAACTACAAAGCATGCACGTGCAACAGGTCGTTTCCGGTTATTTTTGGGTCCCCCTTTGTATAGCTTTCTGTTACTTATGTTGTGACTTAATGTTTTAAAAGGTCATCTCAAGCCCCATTGATGTTACATTCTATAACTCTGACTTACACATGCAGGTGCTGCATTAAATTCAATGCTCGAGTTCTTCCAAGCACTTGTGAAAGCTGGGCTTCCTGGACTGGGATATAGGGACCTTCTTTCTATGTTGGTGACCCCAGTCACTCAAGGAAGGATTGGAGAATCAGTTCCTGTTCTCCATAAACAGGTTAGTTGAAATAGTTACGTTCCTGTGCATGTCAGCAGGCTGCATCAGACTCGTTACAAAGTTCTCGTATTTAGAAACAACAGTAATCAATCATAGTTACATTTATAAATAAAGTAAGAGCAGATTAAATTGGGAAAGTACTTGTTTCCATTCTGATTAGAATGTTTATGTTCCTGTCTCCTTTCAAAAACATAAATATTGAAGTACATGGAATTATAATTATACTGAACCTTTGGGTCCCCTAAAATGCTGGGAATTTCGTGTGTGGCTGAGCAATTGTTAGCTTATCAAAAAGGACTTAGCTCCATCATTTAGTTAATTTGCATGGATGTGAAATGTTTCTGTCATATTAAGGTCAGAACACATGAAATTGAGGGTGTTTGAGACCAGAATGGGTAAGAAAAACCAACCAGAAATTAAGTATGGATTTCACTGCAATTACAATGAAACTTTTATACAGTGCAGGTCATAAAAACCAGATTTTTAAATTCCTTATTTTGAAGGATTTCGGTGGATTTTTCTAGTAATTTGTAAAGTGTAAGTTTGTTCAGAATTACTGGGTTCTTGGACTTCGTCCGTTGTCCAGTACTCAAGAAACCAGAAAGCCAACGTTTCAGAAACTGAATCTTTTTCTATCCTGAGGTGAGGGAGAGACACCTACTCTGTTGGGTCCCTTAGTAAGAGCTAACCTGAGGATGGAAACAGATCCTGTTTCCAAAAACGTTGTGTTCTTTAGTTTCTTTTAGAGTACTGAATGATTGATAAAGTCCAAAATCCCAGTAATTCTGAGGGTTATGCACTATCATCAGAATCCTTTAGCATCTACTTGTAAGTATGTTGTATCCCTGCAGGCATTCCACTCTTTAGCGAAATGTGTGGCAGCACTGACAGTGACTTGGCAGCAGGAGGCTCTGACTGTTGTGGAACAATTCCTCAGGGATGTGCAGAATCCTCGCAATGATGCACAACACATTTTTGCTCTTCTGATCATTGGAGAGATTGGAAGACATATGTAAGTTAGGAGAGACTGTTTTTCTGTTTCTTGTGGCTGAAACAGGAGTCCTGGTTAGATGTAAGAAAATTGTTCCCCTTTGTAGGAATTCATGAAATTTGTGTGAGATCAGTCTTTGTCTGTAGTGGCTGAAGAAGGGGCCTGGAACAGGCTTCATTAGGTGCATAAAATTATCCATCTATGTGGGGATTTGTGTATGTTGGTGATCTAGTATCAGACATGAAAGAGCTAAATGAAAACCATTTATGGAGCCCAAGGACTAGGTAGAGAGACCAAGTGAAAGAAAATGTATATAAAAGGAGTAGGAAACAGAATGAGAGATAGGAAGAACATGTATGGGAAGATAGAAAGGAATGGGACCTTTTTGATAAGACTGTCCACATGGGTGGAAATATCAGCGGATGAACATGAAATTGCAGTTTCATTCCAGCTTTGAAGTTTTTGTAAAGTAAAATAGGCTGCACACCGGCATGCATCAAGACATGATGTCTGCAACATGTCACAAGGAAAGGAGCACAGTTGAAACGAATGAGATTATGAACACCTCCGCACACAGGTCAGAGTCGTCATGCTGACAAATCACGAATGAAGCAAGACTGCATATTTTGTCTCATGTCTTGATGCTTGTCTTGACGCAGTTGGTATGTGGCCGCCCTAATTCGTAATATCTACCTTATTGTGGTGGTGGGGTTTGAGTGCTCCTGAGACCCTGAGAGCTATGCTGATGGTAGTTTAGCTACTGGTAGGATCACCCATGCTGGAGAGGTCGAGTGGTAGGGGCCATAGGAAGAGGGATACCCTGGTCCACCAAGTTGGGGGTTTGGCATGAGGCTAAAAGCCTCACACCATAAAAACTAAATTGTTCAGAAACCAGATAATCAGTCTTGGACCCAGGTTGAGATGGCTAGAGGGTGTACATGATGATCTCCATAAAATGAAAGTGAAAGGATGGGGAGGAAAGATGAAGAATAGAGAGGAATGAAGGCAGATTGTTCAGGAGCCCAAAGCTCATCCTGAGCTGTAGTGCCTAGGGGAAGGAAGTAATTCATAATATCTGTGTATGTTCTTAACATTTAATTCATCTGATCAGTTTCTGTGAAGCAGAACAAGAATCTTCAGCAACTGTAGATCAGTCCTTGGCGAAATGAATGTAACAGCTGCGCAAACTGGGTTAAAAAACTCTGATGCCATTCATTACATTCTTTGTTCTATGGTAATGGGTTCATTAAAAAATGATATATTATTTGTTGTTAAATAACCAACTAAAAATACATTATTTTGAAAATATTAATATTTTATTTCTTCTTTGCACTGATGGATGAATGTTATTCGATAGGGGGCAGTAGACAACCTTCCACAACTGCTTGGAAACAGATGGTCAGTAATCCTAAATGAATTCAAATGTATCAGGAGTCAATTTCATCATTGTGGGGCAAGCCCATGTCAGTGTTTGAGCAAGTAACAGTGAAAGGGTTGATAGCATGATTTGTGATTGCAGTGATCTGAGCAGTGTCACTAGCCTGAAGCAGGTGATTCTTAATTCGTTTTCACCTCCCTCAGAAGAGGTGAAGTCTGCAGCATCTTATACTTTAGGCAGTGTTGCTGTTGGCAACTTACCACAGTACCTGCCTTTTGTATTGCAAGAGATTGAAGCTCAACCCAAACGGCAGTATCTGCTTCTACACTCTCTGAAGGAGGTAGGTGAAATGGGCATATGTAAATGTAGGCAAAGGCTGTGATGGGTGCAAGAGGTTATGAACAGAGCTACTATACATATGTGTGTTCAGTTAGTTTTGTTACGTATTATATCACATTTAATACTTTTCTCCTGAAGTTTCATACTGTTGACACATTAGCATAACATAATGGGTGTGAGGCACCCACATTTTTTAGTGACACCAGTTACTGTGATGTTGTGAATTGTCACCAGATGAAAATATATTATTTGACAACAAAGTTCTCTGATAATTTTTATTTTTTTTGTACCCCTTGAAAATGTATTAGTAAACCAGATATTTGTAGACATAAAAAAGGTCTGTAATTGAATTTGGAAAGAAGTACTGTACAAGATTTTAATTGAATGTAGAATATTTCAGAAACTTGTCATATTAGTTAAAATAGGCGTGCAGGAGTTTTTATTTTAAACATTTATGTGATACTTTTCCAGTTTAGAATGCATTAAAATAAACGAGTGCTCTACCCCTACAACCTTTTAACTTTGCTTTAGAATATGCCCTCAAGAAAGTCCAAGAGGAACAAGAAGGATTGGCAGTTCCTTGTTAATTTGTTGTGAAAAATTATGAATGTGAAGAATCTTAGTGCAGCAGTTCTCCTACGGGCAAGCAGAGAAATTGGTCTTTAAGGAAAAAACTATGCACCAAGAACCACAAAACCAAAATGAGCAACAAAGTCATAATGTAACAATGTAATAAACATTTAAGAATGTTTTAAAATAAAAGTGTCTGGGAACAGCTCCAACAAATAAAAATCAGATTCAAGGTGAAATTAGGGTAAGAATAAATGTTGTAAATTCTTGTTAATATTGTTGTCATCCCTTCTACTTTAAAAATGCTGAAGATCATTGTGTACAAAATAATACCTTTGCCAGTTGTTTTGTCTGTGTTTGAAATATGGTTGTCTACTTGCAGAACATAAACTACATGACTGTGTTTTTGGCCCTTTTCCATTGTCCCAGTTTTTAAAGCCAGTGGTCTTGTATCATGCCGCCATAAAAGATGAGTTTTAAACTCAGGTTATAAACCACAAATATTTGAAAACAGAATGTTGTTGGGTTCAGTATGGCTGAAATAAGTGGGCAGTTCGGGATATTACGTAACAAGAAAATTTATTGTCTGTTCTGGCCCACTGGTATTGTTTTTATTGTTTCTTACAAAGATATAATTGGACAGATCCTAAATAGGCATCAGAAAGTAACAGTTCACTAACAGCCTTATTAGCCAGTGTTTTCACACACATTGTGTACGGTATCTTCTCTGATCAGGAACTGGACAAACCTTTTGTAGGAATGGGATTGATTTTTTATGTAAAATAACATTTACTTCAAAAATGTGTGGGCATTGTGTTTCAGATCATTTCATGTCAGTCCTCAAGTCCTAGTGGTGTGCAGCTACTCCAGCCATTTGTGCCTGCAATTTGGCAGCAGTTGTTCCGACACTGTGAGTGTGGTGAGGAGGGGACACGAAATGTTGTAGCAGAATGTTTGGGAAAACTGACACTTATTGACCCTGCAAGTTTACTGCCAAGATTACAAGAATCACTAGTGTCTGATTCTGCACTTATGAGAACAACAGTAGTAACAGCAGTCAAGTTCACCATTTCTGATCAGGTACTAAAGTGTCTGACTCATCTCATTGTACATGTGTGTGTGTATAATAAAAATAATGTTTGCTTGATCACCAGAAAATTTTTGAATCTAATTTCAGCCTCTGAAATGAGAAACTGAAAGAGGAAAAGTATTAAATATTATTTTATAAACAAAGAATTACTCATGCCCTTGTTTAGGACAGCTATGCTAAAATTCATTTTTAAGATAAGAAATTCATCGGATACATTTTGCCTCCAAGTTACAGGAATTTAGTTAGACACAATTTTTGTTACATATGTCTCTTCATTACTATGTATTACGTATTTTAAATTTATTTAGAAAATTGGTGTAGTGTCCAAAATGGATTTTGTTATTCTGCTGGCAACGCTGATTTATTTTGTCAGTTCATTTTCCTAGGCATAGAGGATGAAGCCTATTAAGAGTCAGTTTAAAATCATATTTCAGGCAGAATTAAAATGTATGTTTGAACATCTCTGTTCATTTCTGGGATGTATGATGATTTGTGCGTTGGTAAGAGGGTATGAAACTTAGTCTCTCACAGACTGAGTGTGTGCTAAGGACAATGTTTGGACATAAGATGGATGAAGGAAGAGAAGGTTGGAGAAGAATTGCATATTGAAGAGCTTCATGACGAATATTGGGATGATAAAATCAAAGAGAGAGAGATAGGTGAGGCATGTGGGGGAAGAGATGTGTATACCAGATTTTAATAGGAAATGAAGGCTTAAGTGGGAGGATAATAATATGTGGACTGCCATCTATTTGACTGAGGATAGGGACCAGTGGTAAGTTCTTGTGACTGAATAATAAATCATCCGGTTCCATAAAATGCTTTTAATTTATTGAGTAGCTCAGTAACTGTTAGCTTTTGAAGGACTCAGCCCCATGTTTTTAGTGAGTCAAGTCAGTCAGTCAGTCAGTCAGTCAGTTAGTTAGTTGGTTGGTAGTTAGAAAGTTAAGGCTTATTTTGAAGGATGCTGCTGACTTTTCCTTGAAAGGATAAAATCCAAGCAGAATAAGGATCTATATGTGTGAGCTAATGTTGTTAGGATGTTTCTGGGTTTGTGACCCTGTGTGACCTTGTAGGCTGATACAAACTCTTAGGAAGAACATTCTGCCTCCATCATCAGTTATGGAGTAGTCCTTGTGATCCTGAAGGTGGACTTGTGAGTATACAGAATGTAATAATCAGAGGGTCACAATCTGAACATTTACAATCATGAAAATTCGAATCTTGTATAGTCTTTTAAAGAAGTAAGCTGTTGTGAAATTCCACTGAAATGAACTGTTGAAAGGTTATCTGTATATTTTGCATTAATTTTTCAGCCTCAAGCTATTGATCCGCTTCTGCGGCAAAGTATCGGTCAATTTCTGAGAACTCTGCAAGATCCGGACCTGAATGTGCGTCGAGTAGCTCTCGTAGCTTTCAACTCTGCAGCACATAACAAACCTTCACTTGTTCGTGACTTGTTAGACTCTGTTCTCCCTCAGTTGTACAGTGAAACTAAAGTTAGGGTAAGTATTTCATTTCCATGCTATTTGGATCCCTTGCCACCACGGCATGGCGCATCCCCAGGTTGCAGATGGAGGAGATGGCCTCCAGATATGGAGAGTAGCTGCGAATATATTGAATAAACAGTTGTGGGCAGCCAACAGGGGGTGGTCCTCCAGCTTGGGGGGTTGGGTGTGGGGCTGACATTTCCTCACCTAAAGAAATAAGCTTGTTACGAAAGATCACAAGATGCCTTGGGCTTGGACAGATTCCTTGGATAAATGACTTCAGTGGAAGAAAATGGATATGAGATTTTGTACTTGGAATGTTAGAAGTATGTATAGGGCAGGTTATGCTCAGGGCAGCTTCAGAAGAAATCTCAAAATATACAAGGTGGTTCAAATATGACCGGGACTGATTTTTTTTTTAACCAAAATTGCCAAACACTTACTTGCACATGTCAGTCTTCAACGTACTCCCCTCCGGAGTCAACAAATTTTTTCCAACGTTCTGGAAGCATCCTGATGCCCTTATCAAAAAAGTTTTGTGGTTGGCGTTGTATTCACTCCCGAACATTCTGGATGATGGCGTCATCCACAAACCGCATGCCTTGCAAGTCTGATTTGAGCCTTCCGAACAGGTAGAAATCACTTGGTGCCAAATCGGGACTGTATGGCGGATGTGTCAGAAGGTTCCATTTCAATTTCCGGAGGGTTTCCATTGTTGTTTTGGCCATATGGGGGCATGCGTTGCTTGAAGGAAAGCTACACGCTTTCCACCTCCCTTCCGCTTGGATCAGATCTTTTCCTTCACGTCTGTTGCCAGGAGGTCTGAGTAATAAGCTGCATTGACTGTTCTGGCATCTGTCAGAAAGTCTACATGGATAACCCCCTGCCAGTCCCAGAAGAACGTTGCCATCACTTTTCCTGCTGAACAGCTCCTCCGCGCTCTCTTGGGTTTGGGAGAACTGGTATGCCGCCAATCGCATGATGACTGCTGGGACTCGGGAATGAAGTGGTGCACCCACGTTTCATCGGTGGTCACTATGGACTTCAAAAATGCATCACCTTCATCTTCAAACTGCTGTAGGAGATGACTGGCAACTTGCATGCGAACCATTTTGTTCACGTCCGTCAAAGTGCGTGGTACCAACCGTGCATTCACCTTGCGATAGTGCAGGTGGTATTTCATGATGTCTTCTACACTACCAACAGTGATGGACAGCATTGCTCCAAGTTCCTTGATAGTGATGCGCCTATTCTCACGAATAAGTGCGTCTGCACGATCAATGTTTGGCTTGGTGACGGATGTTCGCAGCCTATGATCATGCGGTTCATTCTCCACGCGCTCTCTGTCCTCTCTGAAGCACTTACACCACTCTAACACATGGGTCCGTGAGAGACACTCTTCCCCATACTGTTGTTGGAGTCTGTGGTGAATTTCAGCGGACAGGACGTTTTCTCCAACGAGGAATTTGATCACAGTGCGTTGTTCCACGCTCTGCGGTACCTTCTGTTCACTCATCACTCTAGAAACTTCCAGACAGGACTGAACAGGTTCAAACCCTAACAGGAGGGAGGGTGGAGGTTGTGGCTTCCCTCTCTCAAGGTCGCACAGCTGTTGCACAGTGCGGCTTGTTTACAAAAAAATCAGTCCCGGTCATATTTGAACCACCTAGTAAGTTAGATTTAGTGGGAGTACAGGTCGTTGGATGGAGCAGAGTTGGCACCGAACCAGTAAGCGAATATACGTTTTTCTGTGGAAAGGGGAATGAGAATCAGGAATTAGGCTCAGGTTTTTTTCATGCATAAGGGAATCATATCAGCAGTTAAGAGGGTAGTGTGTGTTAGTGATAGGATGTCATACATAACACTAAGAAGTTGTTGGTGTGATATCATTCTGAATGTTCATGCCCCAACAGAAGATAAAATTGATGATATGAAGGACAGATTCTATGAAGAACTAGAACATGGTCAATAAATTCCGTAAATATCATATGAAAATTTTATTAGGAGTTTTATGCACAGAGTTCGTATGGAGAGATGCAGTCTCAAGAAATTAAATGAGGTAGAGGGTAAAGAGCAGTCTCATGTTGAAATCTCAAATAGGTTTGTGACTTTGGAAAACTTGGACACTTAGGTGGATGTTAATAGAGCTTGAGAAACTATTAGAGAAAATATAGAAATTTCTGCCAAAGAGAGTCTGTCTAGATTATTATGAATTGAAGAAGCATAAGCCAGGATTTGATGAAGGGTGCTCAAAGTTATTAGATCAAAGAAAACAAGCCAAATTGCAGTGGTTACAGAATCCAAGCAAAATAAATTGGGCTAATCTGGACAATATAAGACATGGAACCAGCAGACATTTCAGGAATAAAAAGGAGTATCTGAAAGACAAAATTGATGAACTTACAGTGAACAGTAAGAACAAGAACATTAGAGACCTGTATAGAGGAATAAATGACTTTAAGAGGGATTACCAGCCTAGCAGTAACTTAGTAAAGGATGAGAACGATGATCTGCTTGTAGATTCTCACAACATTTTGAATACGTGGAAGAACTACTTCTCTCAGTTATTGAATGTACATAGGGTCAGTGCTGTTAGGCAGACAGAAATACATACAGCTGAGCCATTACTACCTGATCCTGGCTCTTTTGAGGGTTTTTTTGAAAACAATATATGTTACAGTTCATCTTCCACTTTATAGATTTGATCTTCTTATAGTGTACTCAAAAGGAATTAGAGAATTAAAGAAAATGCTTGAAATTTTAGTTGGCCTTCAGTGTGTGGAAGTCCTTAAAACCTTGTTGGTTGTGAAGTGAATCTTCGTACTTGCTCAACACATTCACACTCCTTCACTCCCTGCCTTCCTCACCCACAACCACTCACAGGTAGCAGGTTCCTCAAAAATGTTAGTCCTTACCTACCAGACTATGTAAAATCATATTCCAGAAGACTGTGTTCTAGATGAGTATTGTTTTATTATTGAATTTTTGTTACTGACCTCCTTGTTTTCAGGAGCTATGTATTCTGTATAAACTATATAAAAAGAACCAGAGAGCATTATAAAAGTACACCCACTTATTGAAATGGTAGACAAAGAAAATTTGCTCTACTTATGTCTTTGTTAATCATCAGTTTGATACAACGTCCTGACTGACATGACTTGTAAAGGTTGAGAGTTTTCCTAGTGTAATGTAGCATGCATGTTCTCTTCTGTCTTAATACAGAAAGAACTGATTCGTGAAGTTGAGATGGGTCCATTCAAGCACACTGTGGATGATGGTCTGGATATTCGTAAAGCAGCTTTCGAGTGTATGTACACACTCTTGGACTCCTGCCTGGACCGCCTTGACATATTTGAGTTCCTGAATCATGTTGAAAATGGTTTGAAAGACCATTATGATATCAAAATGTTGACATACCTCATGGTTGCACGGTTGGCACAACTTTGTCCCACTGCTGTACTGCAGAGTAAGTATCGAATGCACTTTGCTGTTGCAAACTGGGGTGACATGTTGAAGGGTTAGCTTCTAGAAGCAGAGTTTTATTCATGTTCTCCATCCAGTTCCCAGCTTAGTGTAGCATGTGAACATGTACCACTGTAAGATAAATTATCAGAGAGATTCAGTGTAACTACTGTGCAAAGGACAGCTAGTAGGAATGAAACAATAAAAGTTGCAAGTTTTTCTGTCTAGGACTGGACAGACTAGTAGAACCCCTTCGTAACACTTGTACCATGAAGGTGAAGGCCAACTCTGTGAAGCAGGAGTATGAGAAGCAGGATGAACTGAAAAGGTCAGCAATGCGTGCTGTGGCAGCCCTTCTCACCATTCCTGATGCAGGTATGAATCTACACTTTTAATTTCACTGAATCATCCATTTATGTTTTCACCAGGGTGAGTCATCTCATGACAAGCCTCTTTTCTATGGCCTTTTCTTCATTTCCTTAAGCACTCTTCTTGTATTTGTGTTCCCATTTTGTCTTCAGTTTGTTTTGGATATCTTCCTTCACTTGGTGTCCCCAGTGGCTGTTTTTTCAACACTTTCATTTTTGATGCTTTGAAAAGAATCCTATTATCATTCATGCATGAATATATGGTACTCTGAACATGGTCTATATGCATGTCCTTTTTAAGTATTAACACTTCCCTGACCTGAGTCTAGCCAAGTGCAGGATCAGCGGTCAAGCCTCCAACTGAGGACTGAGGTTCTGATATTGTGCTGACTGGTCAGGTTGATTGTATGGTTGGATGAGAATTGAGTATGAGCGCTAACAGTTCAATAACAAAACTGTAATAAGAAAGGTGATAGATCTTGTATTTCCAACTATAGACCCATATCTATATTTAGTTCCTTCTCTGAAGTTTTTGAAAAAGTCATGTATAATCGACTTCAGGTGCACTTGTGTCATCACAGTATTTTAGCAGAAGAACAGTTTGGGTTTAGAGCAGATTCATCAACAAAGAAAGCGATATATAAGTTAGTTAATGCAACCCTGCAAGCTTTAAATATTAAATCTCTAGTAGGTGGTTTTTCTTATCTTGAAAAAGCGTTTGATTGTTTAAACCATGATATATTGATCTCTAAATTACAATTTTATGGTGTTAATGGCAAAGCTAAGTTATGGTTTGAATCATATCTTAATAACAGATATCAGAGAACTCAGGTTTCTAATGAGGAATCAAATCTAATAAATCTTTCTACATGGGAAAAGATAACTGATGGTGTTCCCCAGGGATCAGTTCTGGGCCCTTTGCTGTTCCTTATTTATATTAATGATTTGCCTAAAATTGTAGATGGTAATGCTATACCTATTTTGTTTGCTGATGATACAAGCATATTAGTCAAAGGTTCTGACTTAGGGGACTTTCAAAATAAGATGTCTAACACCTTCATACACATTATTTTTATTCCATTGATGAATATCTTCAATTTAAGGCTATTGCAAGTCAGTGACATACCAAAGAATTTATATATAGTTCAATAAAATATGTTTATCGTCACCAAGTTTTAAAACCGTTAGTAATAGAACTTTTTATATTTCTGTCATCATTTTATTTTCTATTTTTTGGCTTATTTGTCTTTTATATATGTACCACTTGACATGTTCCATATCCTACCTGTTGTACTGTGGATCTATGGGATGTAAAATGAATGAATGAATGAATGTACTCACAGGCAGCACTGTTTTAGATTTTGTTTTGAACTACGGTGGTCTTCTTCAAAGTAGTTCTGTCCTGCAGCTATACAGAGTGTAACTGAAAGGTGCCAACAAACTTTGGGCATGACTTCCACATACTAAAACAAGAACAAGTGTCCATATCAGCATGTGTCTGCAAAAGTTTATTTGTGGGTTACAGCTGGTTTTCCAGAGCAAGAAAACTTTTGTTGTTGTTTTGTTCAGTGAAGTTCTGATGATTTCTTTGTTTCATCAGTACTCCTTACAGATAAGGCATTTTTTTTTGTATAGACAGCATTATCAGTATTCACAACCAACACCAGTGGCCAGGTGAGAATCCACATGGTAACTATAGATACCGACAGCAATTCAGAATTAATGTGTGGTCAGGGATTGTTGGTGTTTGTTTGGTAGGCTCGCATGTTTTGCCACACCATCTTACAGGCAACCAACATTAAGATTTCCTCTTACATGATCTTCCAGAGTTAATGGAAAAATGTACGACTGGCAGTTAGAGCACATATGTGGTACATGCATGCTGGTGCATTAACACATTTTAGCTGTGCTGTGTGAAATGTTCTCAATAATGCCCATCATGACCGATGTATAGGTAGAGGAAGACCCACTGCATGGCGTCCATGCTTGCCAAATTTCAAAATTGTGGATTTTTACTTGTGAGAACACCTAAAAATCCTTGTGTATGCAGCTCCTGTTAACAACAAAGAGTCACTTCACCATTCCAGTGTGGTTGCCTGTCAGACTCTCTGCAGCTACCCCAGCATTTTTGAATGGGTGTGGCAGTGCATGATGAAACATGCTGAGGTATGCATTGAAGCTCATGGACGGCATTATGAGCACTTATTATAAATGTTCACTTTCAGCTATAACTCACAAATTAAATGTTTCCAGACACATGTTGATATGAACATTTTTTCATGTTTTGGTATGTAGAATGTGTGCCCAAATTTTGTCCACACCTTTTAGTCACACTCTGATTTCAACAGTGTTTCCAACTGTCAAGAGTACTCGGAGAGGTAACTCTTTTGCAAGTTGTGTAGAAGAGCTGTCATAAACTTCTGAATCTCTTCCATGATTTCAAAATGTGCTCCCTTGGGATGATTATTCATGGTAAGGAAGAAGAAGAAGTCATACAGAGCAGTCTCACCAACTGTGGCGCACTCTGTGCAGCCAAAGAAGCAAGTCAACATTTCCTTGAATTTTGATTTTGATATCCAGTCTTTCAAGGGGTAGGGCGAGTCTAGAGATTTCCATTGTATGCTCCGTCACTTTTTGTCAAAAAACCCAACTTTCATCCACAGTGATGGCTCTGCTCAACCACTCAAAATTTGGACAGAATTTCACTATGATTGTTCAAAATATTTATCACCCATTTTTGTAATGAGGAAACACTACTTCAGTTAAACCAAAACAGTGCTGCACTCACTAGACTTCTCAAAACAGGTTTGCTACTCTGTTGAGTTCAGACTTGTACCTATAGGTGGCAGCACTCACACTTCATATTGTTGCCAGTCTTATTATTTGTCTTATCTTATAGTGTAGTTGGTTGAGGCACTATGCTACAAGCTGGAAGGTCATGGATTCAAGTCCCGGTGAGGTCATTGCATTTTTTTCAATTTACCTAATCTTTCGAGCCACATGATGACCCTGGAATCAACTCAGCCTCTAACAGAAATGAGAACCAGGAATCTTCCTGGGGGATAAAGTGTGGCCAGCGCATAAGGCTGACAACCTTACTGCCATCTGTGAGCCAATTGTCTAGAAAATGTGGGAGCCTGGACATCTCACAACCCTATGGGCCTTCATAGCCTATTATAGAGATAGTTTTACCTTACCTTACCTTATATTAATGAAATTGTGATTGGCAGGAGAAACAAATAGTTGGAGAGAAATCTGCTCCAATGCCAATTTGACCACTTCATATCTCAAGTATACTCTGTGATTGAAACCTGCGCCTTCGTGAGATAGTACTTCGATGCCAGGACAACTTTCCGTTTACTTTACTAATTTGCCAACTTGAGGAAATTCAAGTTCTTTCAGTCTTCTGTTGAGAAATTGTATATTTTTTGGAGTGGAGAATGGTCCATGTTCATCCTGTGTTCAGGATATAATTTCACACATTTAAATATTTCGTTTATTCTGATCCACATCCATTCATTTTTTTCTCTGTATATGTTCATTTCTTTTAAATTTAAATTGGCATTAGATTGGCATTAATCAGGTCAGCTTTTCTTTGTTGGTGAGAACAGGCATTATTTTAATGTTAATCTGTGTTACAGACAAGAACCCACACCTTAGTGAATTTGTCTCTCAAATCAAAACCACTCCTGAGCTTCAACTAATCTTCGAATCAATCCAGAAAGACTCAACAGGAGCTAGCCAAGATGCAAATCTTATGGACCTAAGCTGAGTGAGATGTGACTTCAAAACTACAAATTTGGTACTGGCAGCCATCAATCTCTCTGCCCAGTGTATCATCAGTGTAGTTGGTCAATTGTTCTGCTTATCTGTGTCCTTTATTGTAAAGTAGATGGCACCTCAGTTGACAGAATAGAACAGACTGTTTTTTAAACAAAAGGAAGTTTGCTTCATTCTCAACAAAAATTCAGAGGTCAAGCGCGATATAACCTTACCAATAGGAAAGTATGTGAGTTCGGTGTTGACAATATTTATGCAGTAATGGAAAACTTGTTTGGTATAAAGTTTAAGCAATATACATAAAACAAAAATTTTAAAATGTATAGACTTAACTTTGGTTTTTCTTCAAAAAATAGTATTGCCAACAGTTAATGTCATTGTTCTTTTCATAATATTACATTTATAGAAATTAAATTATGCAAACATAAAATTTCGTAGTTCTTTTTGTTATTGTTCAGTATTCTCTTTTCTCCCCCTTCCTTTGATGTGTTTCTGTATCATTTCCCTATATTCTGAATTGTGACAGTGTAAGCTTATGGTACTGATCCAAGGTTCAGCAGGTGAAAAATACTGAGCATGAGTAATGTGAGTGAAAAATATGGAAAACTGATTTATTTGTTGCACTAAATTTTAAATTTTGGTATATTAAATACTTGTACTTACATGTACATACCTTACTTACAGGTCAGAAGGTACGGATGGAAACTGAATTATTTTAATTACCATAGTTTCTTGAATACCCCATGTCCTTGAATAAGCCGTGAGTATTAAACATTAACTAACTTCAAACATTAATAAATATACAGGGTGATTCACGAAGTTTTACCCCGGCTTATGGTACATATTCTTGGGGTTATTTCCTGCAAAATTTCCTTATAAACTTGTGGTCGATTTTCAACAGTTACGGAGTAACAATAGATTTTCGAAATGCATCATTGTGAATGCAGCGCTGTGCTTCAGCTTGTGCGACCGTACGTTCCAGTCAGCTCTGTCATCAGAAAAGGTAGACCGGTTTGAGTGTTGCGCGTGGGTAGATAGGTAGAGCGGTTCATACGCATGCAACGCATTGTGTTGACGTGCAGGGAGACATTTTTGAAAATCTTATGTAAATCCAGTTGTCTTCTAAAGCACTACAGTTTAAAGGAAACAGGTTGATAGAAGGGTGTGATATGCAACCATTGGTATGTTTACAGAATGGGATGCTGAAAATAATGTAATTTTGTAACACAAAATCGATGAAAAATGTTGCACAATGCAAAATTAAGAAATTGAAAAAAAAAAATTGTTTTAGAATGCTTCTTTCCTAAAACATTAACGATTTAAAAAGTGTTTGTATTGTATTTCTAATTTGTTTTGACTGAAATTCATAGAAAAAAAGATTTTTCGCCAATTTTCAAATTACTGTATCTCCTTAATTATGAGTTGGATACCATTAGTTGTATTAACATTTTTTGTTCCAAATTACCACAGGAATGCCCTCCCTAAGTGGGGGTAAAACTTCGTGAATCACCCTGTAATAAGTGATAAACATTATTTCATATACAAAAAATAACACTTCTTTATTATTGCTGGTGCCACTACATTCACAATTGTGAGACCTGATGCCCTGCAAAATGAAAATGATGCAATATTTGCATTTGTTGTCGTACTGCATTTTTATTCTATTGCAACTTCATCGCATAAAACTTGCTAATTAGAAATAAAGATTATGTACCTACAGCATTTAATTCTCCAGTGCTTTTGTTGTCATTGTCAGTAGAGCTTATGTGGTTGTCATCACTGCAAAAAGAAATCATCTCCTGACCCATCAAGGCTATTTGAGATGCCGCACTTTTTTAAACTTTTCTACCAATCCAGGTGAAGTGTATTCCCATGCATCCTTTTTTTTAATTTTTCACTCGCTATTAAATATCATATTCACATACCCTTTGTAGTCTCCCCCCCCCCCACTCAAAATCAGTGTGAAAACTGGCTTTCACTTGTGAATGATCTGAAATTAACTGCACCCTCTGGGATGTGCCAGATTGCTAAATATGACCAATAAATAGCACTGTTAACTTTGATGCAAATAAACCATGCACCCCACTCTTTAGCCAGATTTTTTCTGAAAAATATGCACGGGATATTTGAGAAAACACGGTACTCGAGTATATTTACTTCACAGCCAGTTCCATACAAGACAGTGGTGTCTCCGCCATCTATGCCATCCTGTTTGTTGGCATTAAGATCTTCATGTACTGTGTCACAATGGCACCATTGCCAGTTGGCATCCTCTGGCAGAGCTGAACCCCTTTGTTGGCAAAGTCATCTCTTGATACCAACGGACCAGCAGTTGACTGGTATGAATATCCTTAGTCACCCAGCAGTAGTTAGTAGTTTAATCATCAAAACTATCTTCATTACTGATTGAAGTCTTCCAGTGTTTATGAACTATCAGTATGCAATATTGTTTCCTTAGATTCAGTGTCTTGCGACTTGAGTTAATTAAACCTTGATTCCATTGTGTTAAACAATAGCTAGAACGAGCAGACATGCCTATAGGTGCATGCACCCTTTCTTCGTATAGCAAAAATTGCAAATATCTTACATTTTCGGAAATATGGACATACCTCTTATTTATAACGAAGACAGATGAATTAGCCTACATTCTGAAAAAGTGAAAGTAGGCTTATGCTATCTCCATGCTGTCTGTTTGTGACCCCTTCAACCCCAATTAACTTTTGACTGCCTAAACCAGTCTTTATGAAACTTGGTATGTATATCATGGTACCTGAGGCCATCTGAATGGTATACTTCAAAAATCCCTCCCATCAGTCTGTGTGTTTGTATGTATGTATATCCCTCCTATCTTTGCTAGGCAAAGGCTCTAGACAGTATATCTCCCTATTGTTGCTAGGTAACAACTCAGTAAGGATGTCCGTGTGGCAATGCAGAACTGTTGGAGGCATCATTTTTCTGTTGGGTCCATGTCCTATAAAACGAAAGTAAGTGATTAGTTTTTCCCCAAACTAATTGTTTTTGCTTTGTTTTACAACGCTGTCAGTACCTCAGACTGTAAATCTTCAAATTATGGGACAGTTACCAAATAATGAATTGGAAAGAAAATGATCATACTTTAATCTGAAATATCTTGGCACTTACATGGAGGGACAGAAGAAAACCTGTCAGGGTAGCTGGTGTTTGGGCTAAGACTTGAACCTGGGAACTTCTAAATATGAAACAGGAGTGTTGCTCTCTTGACCATAGAATTTTGTGTTGGATGGTCATCATGTTATGAAAGTTGCTGGTGTACAAGAAAATGTCCATTTACATCCTGGCAAGGCCTGCGAAATTGATATTTACAGAACACATTTCACAAATTATGAAGCATATCTAATTTCAACAAATGCATACTTGCAATAATTATAACTGATCACACAAATACATCAACTAACCAGAAAAACAGTTATGATGACAAAATGTTTCCTTTCTCTTATTGAAAATGGCTGTCTAGAATTCCTACATTTTGGTCACAGGATATCCAGAAATAAAAATGATTCAACCACAAAGACATACTACCAAAATGAATTCAGACAATGGTTTCCAAATTCCATGGGAAGTCCTGTCATCAGCTTGCAGACCACCAGTGAGAGATTCAGGGTTAAGGTCTGAAGGACTTGCAAGCACGCACATTACATTTCAGGGAACGTGTAGTTTCCCTGTGTAAATATCTTAACACTTCGCGGACCGGTGATTTAAATATTTAAATCACCCTGGGGACCGGCGTTTTTAAACCTACTACCCTAACTTGTGCACTGTTCACTTTAAAAATTAATATAAAATCTCGTAATTAATTTTATGAACTAAAATTTTTGGAGAAGACTTACCAGAGCTCCTAGAAGTGCTTTGGAGTGTGATATTTCTGGAAACATTCCCCTCTGTGAAGAGGCATGACGCAGAACTTGCAGACATAGGAAGTCTTGCTTTGCTCCTTGTGCACAGCGCACACATGGCACTGCCTAGAAGGATACTTCCCCGTCGATTGTTCGCTCATCACAATTTTCACAAGGGTATGTTTCCGCATATCACCCGAGAGTCGCCCAGGGGGGTCCATATGAGGCCTCCGTGGGGTGGGAGTAGATAGTCCCAGTCGTACTACGTCTGTGTCTGACGCAAGTTCTGCTGCCACCATGAGGTCTGTAGCCCAGGCTTTTGCCACATTCATGAGAAATGCCTTGTATTTCAAAGTTGAATTTTCGTTTAGCTCTTTGAAAACCAAAAATGAGTTGAAAAGGGCACAATTTATAAGCCACAAGGCAACTTTCTTCGTCCATTTTACTGTTTTCATAGGAAGGGAATAATAGGCAAAGTATTGGTCAGCTCTATCAACTCCCTTCATGAACAAATTGTACTGAGAAATACAAAGAGTCTTCTTCTTCACTTGCCCGTGTCGTCTTTGAACATCGACCATGCTCGAATTGTGAATAGTGGAAATCATATTCACAACGCGAGTATCCCTCCAGGACTGAAGAAGAATGTCCCCCTTCCTCCTGAATGTGGTGTCACCACGTTTCAGGGATTTACATTCCTCTTTCAGATCTGGAGGAAGGCCTCTGTTCACCCTAATTGTACCACAAATACATACTTTCCTTGAAAGTAGGTATTCTGCAGTTGCCACACTGTTATAAAAATTATCTTGATAAACGTGATAATTTTGATCCAGATAGGGATCCAAAATGGAAACAATAGTTTCTTGCAATTTCTTGCCTTCACCAGAATAAATTTCTAAATTTCCAATATAGCCTGAAGTGCTTTCCGTGACTACACGAACAAGTAGGCCATACTTTGTGAGTTTCCCAGGATTATACGTTCAAAAACGAAGCCTTCCCCTCCAAGGAATCACAGATTCGTCCAAAGACAGTTGCTGCTCTGGCTTATAAACTGTCTGAAATTTCTCAACAAAAAAGCCTAATAAGGGCTGAATTTTGAAAAGTCTGCCCATTGATTGTGGTTGCAGTTCATTATTATTGAAATGCAAACACCACCATATCTGTTCAAATCTCTTACGATTCATGAGTTTGCCGAAAATGGGAATTTCTAAAAATGGATCAGTGGACCAATAGTCTTTCAAATTATCCCTCTTTGTAAACCCCATTAGAATGATTATTGCCAAACAAATTTTCATTTCTGCTGAAGTGACATCCACCCACTTCAGCACCTTATAGGTACTGTCGTACACCTCACGGTGTTGGAGATAGTATCTGTTGGTCTCCTGACACAACATGTCAAAGAAACTATCTCCAAAAAACAGTTCAGCTACTTCAGACACTTGCATAGGGTCCGATGGCATTTGTCTCACCCCTGGATCACCAGTAAACTTTCCCAAAGTGGATGTTTTGTCCACTTTACCCCATGTGGCTGTCCCCGCAATGCTAGCACTCGCACTTTCATTGGAGCTGTCACTGTCACTTTCTCTTCTGGTCACAATATTTTGGGGGCCCCTGTCACTGCCACTGACACTGCCCTCGCTATCAGAAGACGCAGTTGGCAAGTCAGATAACTCATCGGAGATCAAATCACAGATTTCTTCTTCTCCGAGAGCTCGCACGTCCTTCAACTGCTCTCGTCTCTGAGCCATGTTGACACTGAGAATATCTTGCCTCACACATAGAAGCTTTGACTTGAACAAAGGGACTTTTCTTTAGAGTGAGAGGGGAATAGAGAGTGGTCACGTTGCTGACTCGGAAAACAAACATTCCG